GTGTATTTTTTTTTTGTACTGTGGCATCATAATGGTGTTTAAATAATGCATTTTTGAGGTGGGGGTGGAAGCTCATTACATGTATGCATAAGGGGGTAAATGTCTAAAAATGTACGCATGCAACAGAAAAAAGTGGGGGGGGGGGTGAGGTGGCGAAAATGTATTATTATTTTGCGTGAGTACTATTTGGCCCCTGTTACATATTCCATTAAATAATTACTAAAAACCTATAGAGCAGGCCTGCACAACTCAATATGTAAGACGGGGTGTAATACATTATGAAAAACTTGTTCGGGCCAAACGAAAATAGGACAGGGGGAAAGCTATTAAGAAAATAATATGAATAAAGAATATTTCGTTCCTTCGCGGGCCACAAAGTGGGTGCTGGCGGGCCACATGCGGCCCGCGGGTTATGTCGTGCAGGCCTGCTATAGAGTAATTGTACGTGTTCTGTGGCCGTTGGTCCTTGACAGTGGCGTAGCTAGAGGGTGCGGACCGCACCGGGTGACACGATCTCAAGGGGTGACACCAAATGGAAAAATTGCCTATTTACAGAGCACACACTGCTCTGTCTAACCGAATTTAATAAAAGGATAACGATCACATATAAATCACAAGAAATAATCAGAGAACAATTTTATTAGATTTGTGGGCCATTCGTTTAACTTGTGCGGTAAATACTCTTTTGCCGGAAATGCGTCATGTATTAGATTGTTCAGTTCTCTTGAGAGAATATTTTCCTTCTTTGGTGCGACCGCTCATCAATACGATATTTTAATTGTACAAACTGGAATGTCGGTGAAAAGACTGTCAACAACACGTTGGAGTGCTCATCACGCTGCTGTTACAACAGTTCAATGAGTTTGATGAATGTGTGGCGGCGATTGAAGCTCTATGTGACGGGGCTTAAGGTTGTTTCTGCACGAGAAGCACTGTAGAACTAGCTATTGAAAGGGCCCTTCTAAAATAAGACCAATATGGAATTTCGCTACAGAGAAGATTAAGGTTTAAGAAGAGAATGACGGGAGAACAAGTTAATAGATGCTGCACTCTCTCTGTCTGAAGCAAACAGTTGGGAGATTCTGGAGTGTATTGATCGCTTTCACTCTGAACTCCAGATTAGACCCTCTGCGATTAAGGAATTAGCAGATATATTTTGGGCTGCTCAACCCAAATGTCTGGTAATATCAAGTGAAGAAGAGTTATTGGTGTCCGTTCCAAAATTAACATCTTTCTATGATGAATTATCATAAAATGAACTTAAAATAAAATAAATACCAAAGCTTAAAAGCACATTAAGGCAGATGATATGCTGATATGGAATTTCACCCAGTTATGGACTGGTCAGTATTTGATGTTTTGAAATGCATAGCTGAATGGGACTTCCTGGAATCTCTTCCAATACTCTCGCTAAGCCTTCAAATGTTTCATACGATCTATATATCGGTGGCTTCATGTGAGCGAAGCTTTTCAAAACTAAGGCTTATCAAGAACTATTTACGATCCACCACGGGACAGTCAGGCTTCCTGATTTAGCTCTACCATCAATTGAAAGTTAAACGGTGAAGGACATTGATTTTGATCAAGTGGTTGACAGGTTTGCAGCTTTGAAGAACAGTAAAAGAACATTTCAAATAAAGTCAATTTAATGTCAAAATAACTGAAACTGAACGTTGTTATAATTCTTAATTACATTGACCCCCTGACCTTTACTTGTTTCTTTTTGTTTTGTTTTGTTCTGGTGGTAATTTTTATACCGTGGACTTATTTTAAAAAGAAGAAACCCTTTGTGGAAGTCGGGGAAGAGGGGGCGGGGGTGACACCATGCGTTGACCGCACCGGGTAACACCAACCCTGGCGATGCCACTGGTCCTTGAATTATCATTAAGCAGCTGAACGTTTGTTTTTTTTTTTCCTTCTTTTTACTGAAATTATTATGTTAAAATTCATATATTCAAGCGTGGTTTCTGAACTTTGTAACAATTCGCCCACAATGTGAATGACCAAATATCATTACCTAGAGAAATAAGTACCCGAGCGTCAGAAGCTTGCGTTCTCTCCCCTTTCCTACAAGCTCTATAAAATTGGTGGTCACAATAATGATAAGCTAACATGGCATGAACACGGCCAGATGCATAAACAATTGTAGGCCTACAAATTCGGCGTAAACAAACAAGTTATTAACTTATTCTACAGTGCAACAATTGGAAGCCTACTGAACTTGTGAACTTTAGTATTACCTGCTGGTGTGGGAATTCATCGTCTGACGACATCGAACACCGATTAAACCGACTAATCAAGAAAGCTGGGTGTATCTCACAAACTAAACATCATTTGCTTGAAGAACTATTTTCAAGAAAAATGCCGTTGAAAAACTTTAAAAATTAATAAATAAATAAAAAATGATGATAGGCCTATATCCCACCTCCTTCATTCACAGAGACGTCAGCTAGGCCTAAGCTCGATGAGGGCGAATTCTTTCTCTTAAAGTTCCCCAGTCTGTAAGAACTTACAACGTGCTCCCCCAACGGGTACCAAATCTAAATGATCGCTAATTAAGTCATTATAGTCAATAAGGGAGTTCAATGATGGTTGATTTCCACGGCAGAGAAATACTTTAGATTTCCTTTGTTTGAATTGTACAATTTTGTCGTGATTAAAATATGTGCTGAAAATAAATAGGCTAATTACATGGCATTGTGAAAAAAAAAACAACGACACAACAATTTTCATTTAAAATAAAGAATAATCTCCATGAATTATGCTATTCTCACTAAAATTACAGGAGGATTTGCGGTGGGGGACTTAAAAAGCTGTTAAATTTGGGCTCAGTTTTTAAAAAAAAATGTATTTAGTGGTTGTAATTCTATTTTTATGTAATTCCCCAATTATTAAATAACTAAATGCTTACATTATTACCGTTAGAATAAATTTCCGTTCAAACAAATCTAACTCGCACCTCTATCCTTAGCAACAATTACAAAAATTAATAATAAAATCATCTGACCAAATTTCCGTTCGACCAAATTCAAATTTTCGTTCGAACAAATTTCTATTCGAACAAATTTCCGTTCGACCAAACTTCCGTTCCGTCGATCAATTTTCCGCCCACCAAATTTCTTACAAACAAATATCTGGTTTACACCACTGTTTGTATGGCCTGTTGTTTTATTTTGTGTAACATTGTTTTAATTTATCAGTTAATTTGCTATAAATAAGTCTAATAGATAGTAAAGTGAGTAAAGGTCAAAAGGAGGGCTAAGGGGCCATCCATAAAGTGCGTCACGCTCCAGAGGGGGGGGGGGAGGGGGTGTAAGAAAGTGTGACAGTTTGTGACGGGGGAGGGAAGGGGGGTCAGGACATATGTGATGTCACACATTTATTTTTTTAAATTTTATTTCTATTTTATTTTTTTATTTTTTTTAGTGAAATTTATTAGCTTTAAAATTAATTTAAATCCATAAAGTGCGTCACGCTCCAGAGGGGGGGGGGGAGGGGGTGTAAGAAAGTGTGACAGTTTGTGACGGGGGAGGGAATGGGGGTCAGGACATATGTGATGTCACACATTTATTTTTTTAAATTTTATTTCTATTTTATTTTTTTATTTTTTTTAGTGAAATTTAATAGCTTTAAAAATAATTTAACAAAATTGTGTGTATCATTTGGATTAGTTTTATGTCCAAATAGCATGAAATGCGTATCTCCTGAATGTGTTCGTCACGATTCCTCTCGCTAGGAGCGCTAGTATGCTGTTGCGAAGCATTGTTTTATGTATAGCCTTGCTTTCCTCTTTCCTGAAGTATTATTATTTCTATGTTGTCCGCTGCACAATTATGTCACTGTCCTTTTTATTATTTAATTTAATCATTTGGTGAGGTCAACTTTCTCTAATATACTACTTAACCTGTGTAAAAAGATTGCATAATCGGAAGATTATCTAAAACTTGATCTCAACTATTGTAAATGAAAAAGCAGCAGATAAATGATGTGCATGGGCGTCCGCAGGGGGGGGGGCAAGGGGGACAATTGCCCCCCCCCCTCTGGATTGATTGGATATTTTTTTTTAGACAAAAATAGACAAAAAATGTATTAAAGTAAAGTAAAGAGAAAATAAAGAGAAAGTAACTCAGCTGATGTCCGGTCCGTTCGTTCACCATACAAATACGCTACAGTTAATTAAAACTACATTAAAACATTACTAAAAAAATTCCCCCCCCCCCACTGGAAACTTAATCGATTTTTTTGCCCCCCCCCCTAGAAAGTTTTCTGCGGGCGCCCATGATGATGTGTATTATATAATTGTCTAGTCTGATTTGTGCAATTTTTTTTTTTCAAATTCAATCTAGATTGAGTTACTGATTCAATGAATAACTGTGACAACTGTTGACAATTAACTATCCTACTAACTATTAAAGTCGTTTTGATAATGTGATAGTGGAAATTAAGTGGACATTTTATATTTTAATACAGTTTAACAGTGAAGTGTGTTTTATATTAAATTTTATTTAGGTGTTAATTTAAAAAAAAACATTGTTCGAAAGTGTGACGTACTTGGGGGGGGGGGGTTCCGAGATTTGTGAAGTTTGTGATTACGTGTTAAAATGGTCAAAAATAGCGTGACGCACTTTATGGACGGCCCCAACAAATACAAACGCTATTATAATCAAATAATTTGAATGGCTTTGGATATATAATAAAATTATTGGCTTTAATAAGAAAAAAAAACCAGTTAAAGCAATATAAAGTAAGTGATTGGTAGCACACAACTTTAGGTGGATTTTTTTTTTGTGAGACGTAAAAATGTAGTATCATGTTAAATGTAGCCTGTAGCTTTTTTTTTTATCATCCCCCCTTTCAGCCACGCCCACATTCCAAAATAGAATGTGCGTAAGCAACTCAAGAAACATTTTAAACAAAAATGGTTTAGGACTTAATTTTTAATTTGATTATCATAAAAGTTGTCAATTTTATGTAAAATGAATTTAACAGTTGTGTGGAATAAAAAATATAATACTTTTTTTCCTTTGTTTATAAACATTATGCGAAACCACGTGAACAGCACACATGTCGAGGTTTGCGTGTTGAAACGACGGGGACGTGAATTTATACTGGAAAACAATATACTTCTGATGAAAATTAAATTTTAAACAGTTTTAAACAATCTAAAATGAGTATGAGTGACGAAGATAGAGAGATTGACATTGAGAGTGATGCTGTAAGTATGGTTGATAGATAAAAAAATTAAAAACAAAATTATTTTGTAAAAATGGCAACTGACCTACTTCCCGCGACTGAAAGATGAGGTAGCCTTGTACTTGTAAAAGTACCGTGGAGCCTGTCATTGTCATGTCCATCTTGTATTAGATTTTAAGAATACTTGCATATCGTATTTTAAAAAATATTATTATATTTAAGAATGTAACTATTTGAAATGAATTATAGGTCTATATAGTCTAATACTAAGTAGGCCTGCTGATTTTAATTTCATTATTATTATTTGACTAGTGACTAGTAGTCGTAGTTTATTAGTTCCAGGCCTAGGCCTAGTGTTTTGTTTACCTTCACTATCATTCATAATAATATAGGGCACCAAATTATAGTTTACATTTACATAAAGGCATAGGCCTACTAGATCAGAAGAATAGGTGGAGTGGTCAGTATATTAAGATTTGTATGACTTAAACTTAAGTAATTAAGTCTAATTTAAATTATAATCATTTTGTCCAGGTAATTCAATAAAAAAATTATTGAAAAATTGAAGAAAAACCAAATTAATTTAAATTAGTCAAAGTCAACATAAATTGTCAAAAAGCAGTGTCTGAAATTGGGTCTCTCATTTTGTCCTCCTTTTAAGATGATCAAATTACCGATTCTGGTAAAATTAGACAATCCAGGTCAGATGCCAGATTTCTATGCTTTTGTTTACGTGACCGCCATCTTTGTTGAAAATTTAACTTAGCAGACATGAACAATGTAGAGATAACAGAAAATTTTATCATTAAACTAATCTTAGCCCATGTTGTAAAATTTATGAATTTACCTACTGTGATAGTACTCTAAACCCAGGGCTCCCGATAGGGGGGAGTTAATGTAAAGGATCTTGTAGATGTCCGCAAACTAGGAATTTTGTAATTTGTTGCTTTAGGTTAAAGACTTTTGGGTCTACTTCTTTTATTCCTGTATGTTTAAAATTTTTCAATTGCCGACTTTCTCTTATGCTCACATTTGTGTAATATAATTTTAACCCCCCCCCAAGTTCGTAAAAATGTCATTAGGCTTAGGGAGACCGCTCTAAATATTTGACTGCTATTTAACAGCAAATATTAATAGGAGTTTAGGCTTGAATTTTTTTTTCAAATTCTCAGGTCTGGTTACTAATCGAATGATTTATATTATCATACTTAATTAGAAATTTATATCTAGTGACTTCGATTTATAATCTTTAAATGGTTCCTGGATTTTTGCACTGTATAATCCTGTATGTAGACATCTGTAACAGGAGAAGGGGTGTTGGTTTAAGCTTCATACAGATGTGGGTGGTGGTGGAAAAGATGCATATTTTCTGACATTCTTTATGGACAGACCCTATAGGCTTTAATGACTCAAATTTGTTAAGTGAGTGCTTTTGGGCTTGTTGGACATCAACTGTAAACTATTAGTGAAAAATTTGACAGAACATGCATAATTAATAAAAATCTATTAAATAATTAATTGATAGTAAAAAAATATTATTTAGTCAAGGTTTTTCTTCATCAATAAGTCATGTTCTTACCATTTCAAATTTGTCATTTCTTACTTTTTCAAATTTTGAAAAAAATCATTCCTATATTTATTTATAGGGGCCTATCCTAATTATTTCCCCCATCTAGTAAAAACTGCAAATAATGATTTTAATAATAGTTTTGTCTATGTTTTGCATAAGCCAAAAATTGGAAGCTAAGCTATGTCAATCATGATTAGGTTAAAGCAAGATTAGGCTTACATTTTTATGAAGTTCTGTAGGGTTGTATTGTTAATAATGGTATTTATAAATAAATTAAATAAGACTATTTATAAAAAATTACTTTTACAGGATGATGAAGAAAGCCCACAGACATTTAGCTCAGTATGTACTTATGATATTATTCAAAAGTAATGTAAATGAGTGCTAACTAGTCTTATAATATTAATAAATTGAAGGAAAATATAAACCAGTATTTAGAAAATGCATATATCTAAAGATGGAAAGTTCTGCTATGGAAGAAAAGTCTCATGCTCTTGACTATTCACATGATTGATGATAGTATAGTATTTCCTTTTATATGCATTATATTTGATAGAAAAATGTTTCAATGATGTAATTTTTCCCCAGGATGACAAGAGAGCCCATCACAATGCATTAGAACGTAAACGTAGAGATCATATTAAAGACAGCTTCCATAGCCTTCGTGACTGTGTTCCTCAAGATGATAATAAGGTTGTTATCACAGAACGGGAGTGTCAAAAGGTGGCTACAGGGTTTATTACAAATAGTCAGTGTGTTCTATTTGTTGAAGGATATTGGCTGGTTGCCAGTGCAACGGGTCTCATCTGTTCTCAAAATACACTGACTTTAATTCTTGATAAGGGTGTTTTTCATGACAAATAAAATATATTATGTTTTCAAATTATTTTTATTTCCATAAACCATTGTCAAATTTGATCTGCAAACAAAAAAACTGAACTATTTTTAGTGAAGCACATTGTATCTTGAGCCCTTTTGGTATTGGGCAACTCCCTCTTGATCCTTATCAGTTCCACTGATATATTAGTTGTTATCATGTAAATAACTATTTTGCTTATATTGTATCATGTAAATAACTATTTTGATTATATTGTAAGAAATCTCTGAATGGAAAAATATATCACTATTATTTTTCAATTTGATTACTTTAATAATAGCCTTTTGCTTTGAACTAAATTTGACCTATATTAATATGTCTATAGCTTAAACATTTATAAAAAAAAAAAGGTGTAGTCCATCAAGGATTTTAGAAATATTTAATTCAAATTAGTCATTTTCTTTCAATGACATGTTTATAAAAGCTCACCTCAAAAATGATTTAGTCTTAAATTGTATGAACACGTAAGACAAAGTTCAATGGTAGCAAAGTCTGCATCACAACCAAGATTTTTCTGGGTTTTGTCCTGACTTCTTGGCTATTCGCTGGGTGAAATGGACAGGTCACTCAGTAAGGTAACTGTTGTTGGGAGGAGGAAACACAAAGTGAAAATAACTCCTCATAACTGCTGGATAAACGGGCTTAAAACTGACCAGAGCAAAAAGTTATTTTTATATATGTAACATAAAAGCTTCAAATAATTGACACACATGGATTGGAAGATTCTAAATTATGTAGAGGGTGTAATTGGCATCGGTCTAGAAACTGAAATTATTGCATTTTTATCACAACAAATAATTCATGCAAGTGTTTGTAGCAATACTTATTGCATGAATAAATTGTATAGATGATTGTGGAGAAAGAGAAAATCAGTCAACCTTAACATTATGGTTAAAGGCTTAGTATGAACAAGGCAGGTAGAAACGGAAAAATTAGAGCGTGTTATGCATTTAACCATATTATGTAGAGCTGATCATTTAGAACTATGCTGGGGACCAACCAAAATTTGGACTGAATTTTAGTTGAATAAAATAAGGAAGGCTGACTTGAATAGAGAGACTTTGTATGTATGTAAAATTTTGCTGTTGGTGTCGATGCATTGTATTGTATACATTAAATAAAACATTTCTCACCATTTAAAAGTGAAATGCCTATAATAATTATTATTAAATATACAACAATATCTATAAGGGGGTGCCTCTCAAATTAAAGTAGTTGAAAAAGATACATTGAAAATTATGATAAATTTAAATTTTAATTTTTAATCTTGTGAACTTCAGATCACATCTTTAGCTACATACCCTTTTAATACTTTTATCAAATCAACTTCCTAATATTTTTTTATATCACATTTAGAGTTTAAAAGTTTAAAAAAATTTTTTTTTTTTTTTTTTTTTTTTTGACAAACTCCTCTAGCAAGGTAGGACTTTTTTTTCTAAAAAAAAAAGTTACATTTCTTATACCCATTCAGAGCTTTTATTTAATGTTAAATTATTTTCAATCACCATTTGTTTAATTTCTCAGTCACCCAACATGGGACTATGATCTTTAAATTTGAAAAATTAAATACATTTTTGGAATTAAAAATTAATTACAAATTTTAAAAGTTAACCAAAATATGATGTAGTTGTTCTGAATTTTTATTGTGCTTATGGGATGCTGTTTGGAGCCAGAGAGAAAGTAGGAATGCATTTTAAAAAATAATTATTTGGGATGGGCAATATAAAAAGCTTTTTAAAATAAGCAGTTTGAACTGTTTTGATTTTAATCTAAATTGAAATGTGTTGTTCTTCTTAGACTTCCCGTGCACAAATTCTGAGACAGGCTGCTGAATATATTATTCGAATGAGAGATAAAACACTGCAGAATGACAAACATATAAGCATCCTTAAGCAGCAAAACGAAGATTTGCAGGCCCAAAGTAAGTTGCTTTCAGTTTAAAATATTTTAATTTAGTGATTTATGAAAAGTACCTTAAAAAGTAGATTTAAGTAGATATTTCAATTTACTTATTTTGTAATTTCAGTCAAAGCTCTCCAGAAATCTCAAGCTGGTGGAAAGACAGTGCTCAGCTCGAGTTTTATGGATGATGAGAGAGGAGATGATGATTATGAGAGTTTTGAGGAACAGACTGTTATTACGTCCCCTCCTTCCAAACGCAAAAAGGTCAAAACTGCAAATAGCTGAGAACTAGTGTGTGAATTTGTAGTGAATTTTCTCAGTGGTGGTTGAAATTTGATGTCAGGCGGGTGGTCATTAATGTACAAAAAATTTTTCAAAGTATTCCAGGATATTTCTTTTTTCTATGATGTGTAACATCAGCTATTCTCATTTTGATGGGTTTAGAAAGCATTGTTTTATTTATGTTGATAAATGAAATATTTGAGATTGCATGATTACCTCTCTAGCTCAAGTTCACAGACTGGCCGACCTCTTGCCTGATAACCTACTGGCAGTGTGGCAGGAGTAAAACAAAATCCTTTCAATAATTACTTTGGACTGATCCCTTTTGGTCAATTGTGTGTTTAAAATGTAGCAATTAAATTTTTTTTTTATATTAAAATTCATTTATTTGATATGTATTTATTTAAAATTGTGAATAGACTAAATTTTTTATTTTAAAATTTAAATAACAAAAGAGAGATCAATGGAGCTTGTCGGATAAACATTTGATTAGATTTGTTTAATTTGAAAATGTAAAATATTCCAGACATTAAAGATGTTTTCTATAAATAACGTGTGAAGAGCGAGTTGATTTGAGTATGGTACTAAAATGTTTGGTGAACTTGCCCACATTTTTAGGTCATATACAGCAATTCCTAGGGTCATTTTCATTTGTAAAAATTTTTTCTCTCAGTTCCTCTTGGTGTGCATGCATCAAGCATATGTTACATTAATATTTATATTAATCTCATGATGTATTATATGTTTTGTTAAGTAAGAAGGGGCTATTTTGGAGCTGTCCTATGCCAAAGAATTCTCACCATGGCATGGCATAAACATTTTAACATATTAACAGTTCCTGCTGGCCAGAAAGAGAATATTGACTTTTTTTTTTTTTTTTTTTTTTTTTTTATTTTTTTAATTTTTTTTTTAAAATTTTTTTTTTTTTTTGATAATATTTTTTTTTTTTTTTTTTTTTTTTTTTTTTTTTTTTTACACTTTAAAGTTTTACTTAAAAAATTTTTTTTTTTTTACAATGAGTGCAGGAATGTGATAAGATATCATCCATAAAATCAATGTATGTAGCAATATATTTGCATTTTGTAATACTAATTAATTATACATGTACATGCACATCCTTTGAAAAATGTGTTAAAAGGATCTTTGTTTTCTTTTAGTCATTACTTCTAACATCTATAGTTTGTTTGAATAGTTGTCAAAATTTTAATAGAGTGAAATTCTAGTTTGGTCTAATGTACCTGCACCAAAAATATGGTTAGTTTTTGACAGATTTAAAGAAAAACTTTTATGTTTGCTTTGAAAAATTTTTTTAGTGTCTACAGTTCTGTCATTTAGTCTTTCAGAATATATTGTCAATAACTGGCTGGGTGTGTACCAAGTAACATATTTTTTATCAAAGTTTCTTGTAATGTCTGTTTTTTTTGTCAGTTCTCTGCTGTATATGAAAACCCAGTAATATTGCTATCAATATGAGGGTTGTACATAATAACATGTGTGGAGGTCACATGCTTGGCAGCTTTCTTACATTATTTAGTGTTTTTTTTAGAAATGTAAACTGACGTCAGAATTTACTGTAATTTTTATCAAGTATGCTAAGTAACTTAATGTAGTATGCCACTGGATGATGAAGCATATTGTCAACAAAATTTAGCCAAAAATGATGAATCATTTTATTTCTGTAAGTAGCTTTATGTGGGTTTGCCAGTTTTGAGCACCAGTAAACAAGATTTTAAAGAGTTAAATCTTTTTAGCAGAAGTTAAAATTTAGCATAAGATCGTTTTCTAAATTTCTTGGTTTGACTTTTGTGAAAATTTGTTTAAATGTAATGAAAAATATATTCATATATATATTATCTGGTGGTAAAAAATAATTGTTTAAAAAAATTATGCAACAATTTAAGAATATTGATGTATATCTTAATCAAATCTTTCAAATTTTGGCCTAAGGTTTATGTAATACCGGTACATAGATATATATTAAATTGAGCTGTTTAGGTTTAATGTTTTTGTTCAGCAAAAGACTTGTTCTAGTAACACTGTCCAACATGCTAGTAACACAGTCCCACTCCAATTGGTTTTTCCCTATGGTTCTAAAGCTCAAAATTTAGTTTAATTTGTGTTAAAAGGAAATGGCTTCACTTCGAATAAATTCTTGTATTCTCACTGCCTAGTTTTTGTTTTTAATAATCTTAACTTTTAATATAGACTGTAGTGTATATATTTATAGATATACCGGGTATATACACATACATATAAATTACTATATACAAATAAATACACTGACAATGTACACACAGATATATTATACTATACAGTTACAATATATATATTATATATGTATATTGTATTTATGTATATATATATATATATATATATATACAATAGTTTGTTGATTAAATGTATGTCTCAATTTTAAATTGTAAAAATTTGATTTTACAATTATGTAAGGAAACAGGCACCAAAAGAATGTTTGAAATCAAACCAGTTACAAATGAACCTTCATTCATCTAAAATGCAACAGATTACTAGTGTAGAGTCAAAGAAATTTTTTCAAAGTGTACCAAATTCATAGTCTACTGTCCTTCATAAAACCACATATTTAGCACAACTTGACAAATTTGGTGACACAAAGGCAAAACAACTATGTTGAGAAGTTATGAAATCTGTGAATAATAATATGGATGATTTACAAGAATAGGATTTGTTATTGACATTTAATAAGTCTTAAGAAATGGTGAAAGTTAAATCCTAAACATTTCTGCAATCCATTCTAAATTTAATTCATTCCAAATTTAAAGAACTTAAAATTAAGAAAAAAACAACTTTCCCATTATAAAATTGCAAGGGACAGTAAGTAAATGAATTAAAATTTGTTTTCAGCAAAAATGTATTATGAACATCATCCTGGGTGTTAGACATCCCAAAATATACTATCAGTTTTTTTTCCCCCAAAGGGTTTATAAGTACCTTGTCCCAATTAAACCCCTTGATCAACCAGCTAATCTTTCAAATGTTGATAGGTCAACTCAGGGACATGCTGGCCCACGATGACGCGACGAGCATTCGTCATGGGCCCTTTTGGGTATTTACCTACAGTTATTACAATCTCCAGTGTGCGGGCAGCCTCCGGGCCTTTCTTACTAAACCGTTTGTCATGGGTTTCCATGTGCCAGCACGTCCCTGGGTCAACTTAAGATGATGGTGGTATTTAAAATTCTAAATAGACCACATTTTAAAGCATTTTTTCTTTTTAAAACCAAAGATAAGGGAAACAACAAAATATTAACTAACTAACAAGCTTACCAAAGAAATACTAATAGTCTCAGCAAAATTTAATTATTATTTCATATTGCCATTTTTGATTAGTGAAAAAACAAGTTCTCAATATTTCCATGGCAGAGAATTCTGGTATTATATACTTTAATGTGATATGCTGGAACTTAAAAAATTTAAAATCGTTAGATCATTGTTGACCTTTCAATAATAATATAGATAATAAAAGATTACAATTGCATAATAGCTCAATAATCCTTCACATTTTTCAGCAAATCAAATGATTGAATTCAGTGATTTAAAAAAAAAAATGTATTTTAATTATTATTATAGTAAGCCTAAAGTTATTTAAAAAAAAAAAAAAAAAAAAAAAATTTGCGGCATTTCTCAACTTGTGGAATGGAGTATAACCTAGCCAAGTTTAAACAACACTGATGTTCCTGAATCTGACCAGGGAAACCAGCTTTTTTTTTCCTCCTTGTGTGATTTGATCACATTACAAAAAAAACATTTTAATTATTTTTTCCTTTCCCAGATTAAATTTTGTTACCTACAGAAATTCAAATGCATTTAATTTTGTTAAACAAGAAAGATATTAATTTTTTCCACATTTCATTTACATATCTGACATTAAATGCAAACCAACTTCTTTTGTAAAAGAAATGCACATTTCGGGGGAAAAACAACTTGTTCTGAATGATTTTTACAGTTAGTTTCCTTTTTTTCTTCACATAATTCAGTCTTGATAATTGAAATCATTTTAGAAATAATTATTGTATTTTGGGAAAACTTATTTTCAATTTAAGTAGTATTTATAACACAAAATGGTGGGCAACTTATTGTTAACACCAGGACCAAATGTTTGCTTGTAGGATCACTGAGGCACACAAAAATGACAAAATTTACATTGTTTTTTCATCAATTTTTATTTTAGTATTTTTAATTGGACTGGCATTTTTCTTCTGTTTAGGAAGATATTTAAAAAAAAAAGCATCATTTTAGAAAAATTAACTTCCAAGATTTTTACTTAAAAATTGAATTATTTTTACCTTGGTTTCCAAGAGACGTTTACAAAGTATTAAATAAAATTGTTGTGATTAAATTAACTAACCTTCCTCAAGAAATTAAAATAATTGTACAGAGTAGCAGTGAAATTTATATTAATTAAGTCAAATAAAGTGAAACTTCCAAATAAAATTACTAACAAAGGAAAAAAAAATCCATTAATCCCAATCCTAATTACAATAACATAAGTTAATAATACTGGTAGAAATAGTGTTTCTCAAAGCATATCAACTTTTAACTTTAATCAGAATCTGAAACTTACATTGTAAGTTACAGAAAAAAGACTCTACACCCATCCACCATTTAGTTCCCTTAAGTTAAAACAACACATTTTGTAGACATTGAATGTGGAACATTGAGGATTAAAATGTATTAAAATTTTAATAGTTGAAATATGCAGTCCTTTGAAGTGGTACATTGCAGAACTTTAAAGTAATGATATATTTGTAATGAAACTCTCGCAACATTTTAATTCAACATATTCTAGCAATGATGAAACTGTATTTAAAAAAAAAATAAAAAATGTCAGAATTTCCAGACAACTAGAAGTACTTGTTCACTAGGATGTAAGGGACTCGTTCTCACATGGAAGTTTCATGCTGCCAAAGTGCTTTTGAGCCATCATCACTGAATCCAAACTGATGTTATACACTGGCTGAACTGGTCTCTAGTAATTTAGGAAATATGGTGCACAGAGTAAGGGAAACTTTAAACAAAAAAAAAACATACCACAAAATAACAGCAAATAACCTTCAGCTAACAAAATTAAAACAAAAAAATAAAAAAATAAGGAAATAATTTATTAGGTGAGATGGAATCAAAGAATAGCATAAAACTCACTAGATTATATAGAATCTTTTCATTGCACTATTTACATTAAATGGAATCTTTTCATTGCACTTTTCACATTATATAGAATCTTTTCTTTTCATGCAATGTTCACATTAAATGATATCTTTTCATAGCACTATCTACATTAACACTTCATAGAATCTTTTCATAGTATTTTTTACATAATATAAAATCTTTTCATTGCATTTGTTACATTACAGCTGTATAGAATCTTTTCATTACACTTTTTACATTACAGCTTTATAGAATCTTTTCATTGCACTTTTTACATTACAGCTTTATAGAATCTTTTCGAACCGGGTAGTATTATGTATATTATATAGAATCTTTTCATTTTTAAAAATTGTCAACCCTTTTATGATCTCTATTTAAAGAAATATATCAAACAGATCAACACAAATGCAATTCTTAATTAAGTTTTGTATGACTCTGTAGCTTAGTCTTTAGTGATGCCGAAGGCAGACCTGTTTACCCTCAAACTCTTAAAATCATACAATATCATCACAAAATCGTTCAATACCTTATATTTATAGTAAAAAATAATCATAAAGTATATACAATGTATACACCTCAAACTTGTACACTGTACGCCAAAATCGTAAGAGTAAACAGGTCTGCAAAGGTGTGGGGCCATTATTTACAACATTACATAATTCAAGTAAATGATAAAGTTAATTACCAGGTTGTTTTGTGGATTCCCTAAAATGATATCATTGGATAAAGATCCACCAACAAAATGCTGAGCCACAGATAATCCACTAAGACAATAACATGTATGGTAATGGTCCCTTGCTCTGGAAAATATAGAAGCAGCACTTTTCATCATAATTTAACCTAATGTTAAACGAATATAAATAAATAGTTCAGATAATGTCTTAAAAGAAGTCTTTAAATATAAAGTTAAGATTAAAGAATGTAATTGCCAGTCTTAGCAATAAATATGCATTTGTTATTCCTTTATATTAAACGGTTAATTCAATGGAAATTACTCAATTTGAAGTGCTTACTTTCCAGGTTTGTCAATAAGACCTCCATGTACATGTTGACAACAGATTAAAATGTACTCTTGAAGGGCCTCTTGGTTAAACATCCATCTCTCGGCACTAAGACTTTGGTCATCATCTACAACAGATTTTAAAAAAAACTGATTGCATATATTGTTTAAAGTTTTGGAATGGTAATATTTTTTTCTTCAGTTCCAAGTTTAAAAAAAGAAAAGATGGGGGTGGTGTGTTCCTAATACTAATGCCAACCTTACCATCAGTGCACATAATCATATGAATGATAGGAAATGTGGCTCCTTGCCAAAATGAGTAGCACCCATCTACCAATTTATTAGTCCTGCCCTGGAAACCTCCTTCTAATTGAGTCTGGCGATTAGCTGTCCATCGCTGTCAAAATTTAAAAAAAAATCATTCAATAGAAAATTCTTTCAGCAATTAATTTGACTGCAGAAATGCTGGCCCACACTTAGATATTTTAAGAAAAAAAGTAATTTAAAGCTTTCTCAAAGATACATTTTGATTCTTGAGAATATAAAGGCAAATAAAAAAAAAATATAGCAAATGTTTAATCATAAATGATCTTTTTAAAGTGTTAGCTAAGTCTCAAACAGTTGCCACATTTAAGTTATTATCAATCTGATGGTTCTAGGAAGTGGTACACAATGTTTTGTCTTTACAATCAAGCGAGGACAATTATATAGAATATTGTTTTGTTATTTCACTATAATTTAATGTTGATGGAAAGTTACATTTGTTTAACTTTAAAATTGAGTCATAATTTAATTTTAAATTGTTTGTTATTTGTTATCAATAAACATTCACCAGTGTAAAACAAAAATTATAGAGTAATCATATATTCAGGAAATGATTGAGTGAAGCTGTCAAGACAGCATTATTGGAACAGAGAGCCATTTCGGCTAACCAATATAAACATTACTTTAAGTCACAAATGATTTTGGCAATGTCTAAAAATCTGTGTTCCAACAGAAACATGTTTTCCCTTACCAAAAGGGACCTAAGATCACAACGTTCTGTGTGACCAAGAAGAACAAGGGCAGCTATTCCACAAAATGTATAACCTCCATGTGCTTCTAGACCTGGATACCCTGCAAAGCCACCTTCATATGTTTGACACCTAGGATTTGGAAAGAAAAATAACTTACTTAAATTATTACATATTCTTAAATTTAGAAAACAAAGCATTGTATACAAGTGTTATGAAGATACACAATGAATATTAGAATGTAAAGAACACTGTTTTGAAATTTTGAGTTGACATCACAGTTCTATGAAATGCCTTAGACCAGGGATAGATAACCTTTTTGTGCAAAGCCCTGAAAGGAAATTATTATTTTTTTGCGGGCTGCACGATTTTGTTAATGAAAATTTTATAAAATATGTCTTTAAATAGTGTAGACCTGTTGGCTTTAAAAATTCACTTTGAGTTCAGTTAAAAAATAAGCCAGCATGATTGTTTCCAAGGCTTTTACAGGTAATCATTGACAATTTGTACACTTAACGAAAACATTAATGGAGTTCCCGGAAGGTCTTGAAGGTCGCATTTAAAATTTCAGCGGGCTGCATGTGGCCCAAAGGTCCAACCAGCACTACCTTAAGACTGTTTCTATTAATTAGTATAATCTTATACAGATATAACTACCTTGTGATAAATTCAGCAGTGTTTAGTGTTAATTCTTTGGTCATAATGTTGGTCAGCCTTGCAACACTTAGAGCACAGTACACACCTCTACCATAAAAATCAATGTCAAAGAAAATCAATTAAAAATTATGATTTCAAAATATTTTAATTCAACTAAAGAGAATAATTACATAAACTGAGCAATTAGTAATTTTTAATTAGTAATTTCTTAAAACAGCAATGGCTGTTCACTAACCTGATATCAACCTCTCCATCTTGATGCATCTTGAATGCACCTTCACTTGTTTTCATTCTCATCAAAAACTTGTAAAGTTTTTCTCTGACAAATAAAAATACAATAGTGCAACAAAAAAAATGAATTATTAACTTTTTAAAATTGAACATCGGCTTATTTTCATTAAAAATTCTAACCAATTAAAACTAATTTATTAGGTGTGTCTCAGTTTTTCTAATAATATTGATTGCCTCTTGTTATTTTAAGCTGAAATGACTATCTAGTCTTGAGCTTATAATTTTTAAAAACTCAAAACGTGCATATCTTCTGACTTAGCTTCCTTAAAATTAAATTTAAAAAAATTAATCTTACCTGTCAAGAACATCAAAAGCCTTTTCAGTTATATTTGCCAGAATGCAAAGAGCATTTACTGCTGCGTATGTTGGGGCTAAATGAGGAAACTGCATTGGCCCTCCTATAAATATATCACATTGAAAATGTTACTCTGATACCTTGAAAATACCCTGGTAATAAAAAATCCAATCAAAACAAATCCAAGGCTGGCTATTTTCTTGTTAAATGCATTAATTGAATTTTATGATGAAATGTAATTCTTATGAGAATGTGTTTAATTACTTAAATGTTCCTTCTTTCCTCAGCACTAAAATACAAACAAAACCATAACAAGTCAACCATTTGCAAATGTGACATGAATGTTAAAATCACAGATTTATACCTCCAAATCCTCCCTCTGGATCTTGACATTTTCCAAGAAATTTGGCTATTCTGGAAAGAATTATACAAAAAAAGCACCATATTATGAATACTTTTATTGACAAATATAATTTTTAAATGTACATTTTAATGGGTTTCCATACTTATACTGCTTCCGACATTACAAGAGCTGAGAGACAGTTAAAAATTTTGAAAGTAGAAATGAAATATGAAAGTGACAACCAGTGTTTGTTTTTTTTTGTTTTTTTTTGGCCACACAACGTGGTCAAATGGTGTATCTCCACCTATACGGGGAAGTTATCTAAATGTATATTTAAAAAAATGAGATTTCTGGCACCTTGTGTCTTACAAAAAAAATATAAAAGCCGTGGTGTCAACTAACAGTGATACTGGAACTTTACAAATTTGAGTGTAAATACAGTGTGCACCAAAACTAACAGCAATGAAACTCTGGCATCTTATAAGCTATGTATGTTTATTAATGGTGCCTCATTCCAGCCACCATGTGTTCCCAGTAGTGGAAAAAAAAGTGTTTGGCAGTTGATATTGGAAATGGGTCTCTTGATGGAGGAAAAAAGTATTCATAGTCGAGTATTATTTTCCCTCCTTTGAGAGACCTATTTCCAAGTATAAATGCTTAAAATATCATCGTTTTCACTATTAGAAGTTGGGCAGCCGGAGCTAAGCGTTGTTAACAATCTAATGAATGGTTGATGTTACATTTACATCATATGTAAATATTTTTACAGCTGATATTCTTATAAATGTTTCAATACTAACTGTAATGCTCTTTCCTCTGTGATTGGTACTTCCAACAACTCCAAACTGTGTAGTATCCAATAGCAGAGCCATGGACGACTGGAGTCTAAACACTGCAAAGTTACATTTTAAAAATCTGAATTTCTTTAATATTTTTTCACTTTTCTATCAATTATTACAATTACTTGTATTCATTACAAATTTAAACATTTTTAACAAATGATTTTATTTTCAAAATTATAACCAAGATGTAAATTGTTTTTTCCACATTCATAAAATTTTTTTTTATTCCTAATTTTTAGACAGTAAAATATTATTTAAATTTCTGCCCATTTTTAATGGCACTAGTTATATTTTCAGGAGATTTTAAACACTTCATTAATGACTATTTTATATAATTATTATGTACCTCATATGAAGAGGATAAACCATGAAGTCCTTTAATTAGAAATTGCTCATGAGTCTCTCTTTCCAGGAAAGGAACACTATAAATTAAATGGTAATGTTTAAATCTGACATAAATTAGTTTTTCTATATTATATTAAGTAATAATAAAATAATAAGACAAAATAATAGTAGCCTTTGGACACTTGGTAAGTTTTTTGGTAGCAGAAATATAATGGCACATCTGATTTTCATTATAGTTAGGCACTGAAATTGCTCATGGTGCCAGTGCATTTCATAATGGTCAAAAACTATTTTAAAAATACTTTTTAAAAATCAAATATCATAGTCATTAAATATTTTTTTTTTAAAGTCAATATATTATAAAGATTTTAAACTGTTTTATTTATGTTATGCTTGTACACATTCCAATTAGGCACATTAATAATTTTTTTTGATAAAAAACTAAAATCTTAATTTATTTATTTGAAGGCAGTAAAAATACTTACTCTGGAAAGACATCAAGTGAGGTTTTAAAGTGATTGTAACATTTGATAACACTTTCTTCAACTTGTTTCTGAAATTATAAAACAGTTTACAAGAAACTCAATTTCTATATCTGTGCAAGGGATCTATTATTGATCTTTCCATAAGCCCATGAAATGGAATATTAATAACACTATTTTTTTATTCATAGAAAAATTAATGTTCAAAATGTGTTTGTTCTTTTTTTGGGAAATTTAGCCTGGTTATTTGATGTTTGCCTTATAAACAAAAAGCTGGCAGTTAGAATCAGCAATGGAATAATAATACTGAAGATGTATACAAAATACTACAGCAAATCTCAATTACATTAGGTTACTGAAAATATAGAGAGATGGAGCATGCCTACCATTAAAATTTAAGGGAACAAAGCAACCCTTACTTAATACTTTGAATGAATATAAAATTAAAAAGAAAATATCAAAGGAACATAATTTAAAAAATGGTTTGAAATGGTACATAATCATAATGATTTATTTGCTTAGCTTGCCCTAACTGAAATTAGTAACTGCCTAAGTTTGTTGGTCGGCCACTCACAGCTCCAATTGCACATGGGGCTCTTAGAGGGAATAGATGCATTTTTTTTCTCTTATATATTATGACATTTAAATAATCCACCCCTGTCTGTGGGTCCCAAAATATTGTCTTAGCAGATTAGTTGAACTTCAGTTTCAGGGCTAAAAAAAGTGCCACAAGCCAAGACAAGACTATTAGGTAAGGTAAAATACATGGAGTACTATAAATGGGGGCATTCATGGACTCTTCATTATCTTTTAAAAATCTGGTTAAAGTAGATTTGAAAAAGTTCTTTAACCTGTTCCACTGAAGTTTGTGTAGGCACACCTTCATCGTTAAATCTACGACAATCAAATGAAGGTGACAAACAGCGAAATCTGGACGGATCTGCCATAACCTAAAAATAAGAAGAAAAATGTGGTGAGTTTTAACAGACTTGCTAAATTATTATTTTTTTTTTTTAACTCTCTGCAGTCCGACTATAGAGAAATGGTACTTATAAGTACCATAGATTTTGTGGGTGGGTTATTTATTTTTTAACTTTCTATTTTATTGAAATAAATTATTTATTATATTTTAATAATTTGTTTCATAGGTTTAAGTATTTGTAAAAAAATTAAAATTATTACAAAATTTGAAATTACTATTAAAAAAAAAAAAATTTTTGGAAACTTATTCAGCGCGGAGTATCCCTTGAAAGCTTCGCAGATTTCCAAAAAGCAAAAAATATAAGTCTCACAAAAAAAATTAAATAGTAGTATGAATATTGTCAAATGATTTTAATTTCAAGATTTATCAAGGAGTTATTTGTTTGTCTAAAGCAATGTATCCGAATGGAGACTCTAATCATGAAATTTATCCCGATTTGCATATAAAAGTAACGACTAATGCTATCGTAAACAAGTAAGCTTTATTTTAATTATCATTTCCCACAGAAATTCATATCATCACAGAATTTCCCGACTTTAAAATTAATAATAAAACAATAAAGTGATATTTTTATAATTTTAATTGGCTGAAGTATATAATAAATAAATAGCGTCACTATGCGAAATAAATATTTAAAAAAAATAGCGGAAAATTTCGGTCTATTGGAACTTGCGTAATTAAATAAATTTAATCTTAAGGACTTCTGAGTTATTAACTAAATATATTTCTTTAAAATATGTTACGGCCAAGAATAATCTTCTAAATTTTCTAATATTGCATAGTAGAAATGTGTTTGAATTTAATTATCATTATCGCTAGTCATTAGTATTAGTAGAGACTACTGTCGGCAGAATAAAAAAAACAACATTTATGTTTTTATTAAAAGCTCTCTAACTCTAATGGGAAGGAGGAGAGAGAGACAAAAATGCAGATATTGGATCAAGAAGCCCTTATTCCTTATTGATCCTAAATATTAAGCCTGGACTCCACCCTTTTACTGAGTTACAGAGTTACTGGATGAATATCTTTGAAGATTTTACCCTAAAAACAAGTGGTGGTAAGTTTTAATCTAATCACTTGGTAGCAAAATGCATAAAGAATAAACTCACAATATTGTTATAACATATGTTATAATGTATTTTCTATGTACAATGGTTTACTTTTATACTAATTTAGGCATTTGGACTAGGATTAATGGTATTTTCCCTTACTGATAGCATACCATTACTGATACCATTAGTGTTAATTTATTTATGAATCAATCAAATTTTTTTTTTCACAGGTTCTTTATTGAGTGAATATTCTGTGGTGACAAAAAATCTTACCTAATCTTATGAAGAAATCAAGTCCAGGACAAGCTCTTATTTATCAAATATAATTATTATAATAAAACTGCAGACTGTTTTAAAAAATAATATTTGTTCAGTGTCCATAAATTAAATATAATTAAGGAATACTGTAACTGTAGTTTATCAGCCTGTGTTATGTGAGGATTATAACAAAGATATATAATGTAAAAATTAGGGGTGTGCCGGATCCGTTTTTTCCAACCGGATCCGGATTTTCTTATGCGAAATCCGCCGGATCCGGATTCCGGATTTTGGTACTATTGGTAGATACTTCGGTAAGTCAAGGTGGACTACTACTTTTTGTGTATGGGAATTCGCAATCGGCGCCAAAAAATCCGAGTTTTTAATTTTCCGATGTGTGTGTCTATTTATTATTAAATTAGTACTTTCGATATATATTTGAGTTCCGTTCCATTTGGATAAGTGTCTTACGAGAGACGCCATGTTTCTACGCGTTCGCAGCAGGTTATGCAGCTCGCTCAACCTAATTTCGCCATGGGGTTGGCCACGCCCCCCTTTTTAATGGCGGAAGTTGACGATACTTAGGAAATATTAATTTATTATCACTATTTACATCAAAATAATTGATAACTTGTGTTTCAGAATGCATTTAAAGACATTTAAACTGGAATGTTTTAATTTGAGCTTTAACAACCCGGTAGAATCCATATTATAAATGATCAGAATTTACCGTGTGCAACACGTTGTCATTGGCAACCATTCACAGCCACTTGCATAACTGTATCGTAGTACTACCTCAGAGTTTCATTCATAAGAGTTTGCCGTGTGCAAAAACTATTAAACCATTGGTCAGGGAAAGCTTTAATTAATTATTCATGTGCCAAAGTTGAAAGTTTAAACTAAGTCTAAACAGTATTTTAGTGATAAGGCAGGGAATGCGTTGCCTTATATAAACTATATAGTCATTGCGCATGACGGGATTGGTGGAATGAGATCACAGAATGTGGAGATGCAGTCCATGTTAAAAAATGACAAACCAAGTCGTACTTTAAAAATTCATAACTTTAAAACTACAACAGCTAAAAATATGATTTTGGTGTTATAATTCTTTAAAAAATTACATCTTTTCAACTATGCCATTGGTTTATTTTTACAAAAAGTTTAAATTTTCTTATCAAAGTCCCTACACTATTGGCCACTATTAGCGGTGCTGACTCTAGCCTCTGGTATGTACGGAATATTAAACATTAAACAAGCTCAACGCTCGAAACAATCGATTAATGTATCGTGATCGTGTGAAATTCGGGAAAGAGAATTACTTTTATTTCAGATTATGATCCGGTGAGTCACAAAATCTGGCAAATTCCGAAATCCGGTATATTCCGGATTCCGGAATCCGGTTGTTCCGGATACATGTAAATCCGGCGGAACCGGATTTCAGCGGATAGTGCAAAATCCGGCGGAACCGGATTCCGGACCGGGGTCCGGCACACCCCTAGTAAAAATGCCGGTACATGGGAAAAAATAGATCACATTAGTGAGGAATGGATCGTATTTGACATTAATATCAAAATTAGCATTATTGTACTGATACATTTTAATTTTTTTAAACTTTAACATCAGCGAATACCTCTATTTTAAAATTAAAAAAAAACATTGACTCTTGTTTTGAGTTATTTATATATTCATCAAATTTTACTTAGTTATCTTTTACTCAAGAATTATTAAGAAATATATTTAATATTTAATATACAAATCTATAAGCTATGAGACCCATTTTTTAAAATATATTACATACAAAACATAATTTTAATTAAACGAAAAATTATAGTGCATTTTTTAGGAAAAAAAGACAAAATATAGGTTTTGCTAAAATGTTGACAACTTTTTGATTGTTCAAAGAATTTTTGTCATGTTTGACTATGAATTGTATAAGTTGATGAAGTATTTTATTTAAATAAATTTTAAATCTTTTTTAACAAGGATTTTTTTTTTCCTTCATACTGTGTAAAAATTTTGTCAAAACTTTGCATAAAATGACAAAAAATAATTATCCAATAATGTTTCAATTATTTTTATAACTAAGAAAATAAAATATACAAAAATATCTAATGTCAAAGATGAACAAGTTAATATATTTAACTGATCAGATCAGAGCTATTTCAGATCAGTTAATTAATTATTTTGGAAGGCCCTTCCAGTCGATCTCAGAAACAATCAGACACTGGAGTCCTTTAAAACCGATTTAAAGACACATTTATTTCGCAAACACCTTCTGGCATGATTGTCTACCATATTTTCCATTTAATGCATATTAGCTGTGTTGCTCAGGGTTGAAAGACTTTGACATTGTATGCTTGTAATTAGTTTTTGTAGTGTTGCGTTTGTTTTAAATGTGGTAAATTATAGATTTTTTACTCTAGTACCGCGCTTCGAGCCTTTGGGGATGAAGCGTGTTTTTAAAATACACTTTATTATTATTTTAAAAAATCACATTAAGATTTTTAAGAAATGTGAAAAAAACGTCAGACTGCAGAGAGTTAAATATGTCTGATAATATTGCATCGAGTCAAGCACAAAACAACAACACAAACATGGAAAGTACTTCTTCTTTAAGATGGGTTTCCTATAACCGAAATCATTTAAAAGATTCGAGATAATTTCAGCTTCCATACTTTTGTTAAACTGGGACGGCAATAATGTTGATAAATATGAAATAAGAAACACTAGGTAGGGGGAAACTAAAGTATTTTTTAGCAGTTCACAGTTAATCTTGAATTCCACACAAGATAAGGTACATTCTTTTTATGTTTCAATTTTTATTTTTACCGTTTTTGTTTACTTTTACTTTTTTTTCTTCATACGTTCTTTGTTTTATTGTTTGTTTTGTCTTCATTCAGTTTAGTAGGAGGGTTCCAACCATAACATATGTTTTATTATTTCCTAAAGTTAATAATTCCAATTCCACTAGTTCCTTTTTTTAATTTTTTATTTTTGCGCTGAAGTTGAAGTATCTGTTTTTACTTAGTATTATTATCATGGAGAATCATTCTCATCGCTTTGCCTTAATACATATTTTCACAATAAATAGACTAAATCATAATAAGATATATGTTATGATTGTATATTACAGCTTCAAAAAGCTTAACGAAAATTTAAACTTTTCATTTTAAAATCTCATTTGATCAGTATTTAAGTTTAACCTTTATTATTTTTTGAGTGTCTTTAATGTTGAGTAACGGATTTTGGCCTTACTATAATAATTTTGAATCAACTTCCGTAAGGGAATGTATTCTGCTTTACTGTTTGACAACACATCAATGTTTGTCAGATTATTACAGTTAAAATAAAAACTATCCAATAACTTTTCATTTTTACCCATTGTATATTTAATAGATACAATGACTGTCGACGTAGCAAATAAAGGCTTTACACTTCCATCCGGCCCCTCCTCTTTATGTTTTGATAAAGAAGAATTCATGAAAGTAGGTTATAAAATAACTTAAATTATGTTAAAGTTAAAATTTAAAATAAATAAATACTTTCCTGAATCCTACGACAAGACCCCTACACACTATAGTAATAACTATAGACTACAGACTACCAAAGATTTATACTAAATAGTAAGCCTAAATCAAATATTTAAATTAGAAATTTTTTAAAGAGCTTAATGTTTACCGTTTAGACCATAATAGAACTTAGATGTTTTTAAACTTTTTGAAGTTAAAGACAAGTTAAGTTTGGTCTGGTAAGCGTTTTGCCATTTAGTTTTCCTAAAATTTTTGGCCTTGGCCAGTAAACTGTAATGGGTAGGGTGAGAGGAGCACTAAGTCTAACTAAGCATTTCATGGGATGGGTAGAGTGAAAAATTATGTAAAGAGTTAAAGAGCATAAATACTTATCTAAAAATTTCAAAGTTATGTTATTATTATTATATATATTATTATAAATGAATATATATCATTAAAAAGGACTATGTATTTTCTTTTTATTGCCATTGATACCAGAATTATTTTTCTATCTTATTATCTTAATCAAACTAGTATTTTTAAGTGTCAGCACTTAATAATAAGCCATTGTGATGTAATATTATTATTATATATATTATTATAAATGAATATATATATCATTAAAAAGGACTATGTATTTTCTTTTTATTGCCATTGATACCAGAATTATTTTTCTATCTTATTATCTTAATCAAACTAGTATTTTTAAGTGTCAGCACTTAATAATAAGCCATTGTGATTAATACTGAAATAAATAGGGTAACAGAGGTTAAGTAACTTGTTTTTGCACTACTTTTTTTTAAACGGCCACCATCTTGGTTGCCATGACACATTTGAGGGTGTGGGAAATGAGTGGCGTGTTGGATGTAAATTTACCTTATTTTGATATGAATATTGCAATAATTTATTAAATCAGTGGGATTTGAGCGACAGAGAGTAAGTAAATTTAATTATAAAATTAGCCATTTTGGGCATTAGAAATACAAAGTGCATATATATTACCCATACAGTTTATTGGGTTAATGCATACAAGCATCTTAGTGCGTAAATATTAATACTGTAAATAATTTCACAGAATAGTTTCTAAAATAATGGATAAGTTTCATTGAAAAAATTCCGATCACAAATGTTAAATATGATGATCCATTCCATGAAATTAATGATCCAAGTATTTGTAGCAGTTGTAGATACCATTGATATTGATTTTATTCAGTAAACGCACAATAAGCTGAATTCACTATGAATATTTCTTTCGTACTGTATAAATTTATTGTGAAAGTGGCAACTTTATTATATCCCTCTAGACACATGGCAGGGAGTGGCAACAACCTGCGGTCTCTCCCTTTACTTGAGCATCATTAAACATCAGCTTGTTACATTGGATAGTTACATAATGTGGTGACTATTGGAAAGGGGAAACATGAAGACAAAAAATAAAAATTACTTTTAAAAATATTGCTGGTGACAACGGTGTGTTGTGAACTGTTGGCAAAAGAGCAACAACAGTAAGTGTTGATAGTATTGGGGATGCATATTGCCACAAAAAAAAAATTGAGCCCCGCGCTCAACTGCCCCACCCAGTCACTTCAAAAAGTTTTAGAAAAGTAACTTAGTCGTTAAGATTAAAGGAATTTTTAATTGGGCCCAGCCATTAAGTTTATATAGGTATAAATATTTTTATAGGCCTAGATAGACAAATTAGATACACAGGGGATTGGGGTGGGAAGGAAGTGGCTACTTCCAAACAGCGGCTTTTGAATTTTTCCTGGTAACAAAATTATATGAGAAAGGAGAAAATGTAAATTATTATATTATAATTGGAATTAACACATTTTGGAGTTTACAGCCATCCAACCTCAAAACTGAAAAAAATAACAATAGGCCTACTAAAATTCATTTTTTTAACTATCGCTGAATTTAATAATTTGATTGCTGAAAAATTAATGAGCTTAGCAAAAATTTAATAGTTTGTTATCAATTTCATTATTGAATTGTCAACAATTCTCAACAATTTTTTAACTCTACAGTTTTGTATTACTAATATTCATAGAGAACTCTCAAATTAAATACCATTCACCGTGACCCACAGAATTGACCAAGGTCTAGGGGCAGAGGCGTTGGCATCCACCACTTAGGTGGGAATTGATGCCCCCTGATAATAACAGTCAATTGGCCTTATCATCTGGCAATAGTAATTGGCTATAGGCCATAAATTTAAATCATGAATCTCTAATAATTTTCTTGTGATAATTAATTTAATGTTATTTGTATTTCCTATCTTAAATTAGTCTATAACTGTAGCCTATAGGAAAAGGGTGACTATAAGTTAACTTCTAGCCAATCTAGGAAAGTGGTTCCATACCTAAGTCGGGTGCCCTAGGGCAAAAGTAGGGGTGCATTTTTTAACCTGTGGCTTTGGTGTGACTTAGGCTTAGGCCTATTACTGTACTGTTACATTTTTATTTAGCTCTCATGATTTTAATTTAAATTGTAACGTTTACAAGCTCATCATCTGAAGTCAAGTCATGATATACAAACAAAAAGTTTGAGATAACACACTCCATGTTATTTTAATATAAAGAGATTACACGAAAGTTTAATTAAATGCAATGAAAGTTTTAGTATATTGTATACACGCCATTCATTTAATTTAATCATCACACTAATATTTGTTTTTAAAAAAAATCTCTGCCTTTTTTAATCTAATGCCTATTTTGCACATGGCTGACATTAACATATAAGGTTTATTGGGAATAATTTCATCCAGGCTCTAAAATAGTAACATTGGTTTGAATTAAAAAGTTTGTGGAAGACGATGCTATGTGGGGATCCTCCAAGAGGATGAATAAACACATGAAGACAATATAAATTTGTTAAAACAAATAGGATAATTGTTGGCTCATTAGCAAGCTGTCTAAAGTTTGAAGTCAAATAGCACAGCATATCTGCATGTTTAAATTTGGCAGATCACATTAAAAAGTCACCATCTCAATGGGCCTGAAGCGATGAGCAAACTATGTCTATTTTGCTTTGGTCTTTGATTGGACACTGTTCATGCCTGCACTGTGTAATACTTCGACTATGTGTTGCTTGCTGGTATTTTTAAAAATAATTTACACTACTGAGATAAAATTTCATCACCAACAAATGAAAACAAAACCAACCCTCACGAGACTGAGGGTATGGAGGATCTTTCATCTGATTTGTTAACACAGTCGAACACTTGTTTATGAGACATAATTTTTTTTTTTAAAACTTATATTGCTTTAGTTTCATTAATTTATGTTACATTACTTGTTATTAAAAAAAATCTACTTGTTCATGTTAATTTCATGTCTGTAAGAAACAAAAAAAAAGCCACATTTGAAATGTTGGTACATGGAAACAACAGTAAGCCTTTTAAGTTTCCTGTTTTTATTGTGGTGTACCACAGAATCTGGTCAGGGACTGGGTGTGCTTTGAGGGGAAAAAGGTTGTGGAGCACTGACCCATAGTATGGGGCCAAGAATAGCTCATAGGAAGAGCATATGATTTAATGTTTTTATCAGAATTTTAAAAGAATGATATGGATATGGAAGAATTCATTGGATTTTGAAACTTTAAATATTGTTGCCTTTTTTCATATTCATTTGACCTACAAGTCATTTACTGCAACTAAAAATATTAATTTGTTAAACATTATCAATTGCTTATGGATTTTTTGGCATTGTCTCCAGAAAGATTTTGAAGTGGACAAATTCATCATGGAATGCAGAAAGAAAGTGCCGCTGGAGACTTTGCGGGATGACCTTGACCTCTATCTAAAAGTTATTCGAAGTGCAATGATAGAACTAATCAATAAAGACTATGCTGACTTTGTCAATTTGTCAACAAATTTGGTATGTGATATTAATGCCCTAGATCAGGCCTGCACAACATGGCCAGCGGGCCGCATGTGGCCCGCCAGACCCACTTTGCGGCTCGCGAAGTAACGAAATATTCTTTATTCTTATTATTTTCTTAATAGCTTTTCCCTGACCTATTTTCTTTTGGCCCGCACAAGTTTTTCATAATTTATCACAGCCCGCCTTGCATTTTGAGTTGTGCAGGCCTACCCTAGATTTTTAAATCTTGATAATAAAAACAAAATAAAAATAATTTTGTTGGGGCTACTCACTGATCCATGTCTTGTGACAGTTGAATAATGAAATTTATCTCATATATAAATATATGCATTGATATTAAAGGCATAATGTATAAACTGCTCATAAGAAGAGCTCATAAAATAATATGCTAAAGTTAGCGATACAGTACGTTGAAAAAATAAAAAAAAAAATAATCCAGACTTTCAATTTTTTTTCTTGTAAGTAAATGATCTAAAACTTGATAAGCTTACAGTATAATGTCCAGCCTTACTGATCATTTCAAAAAATAGAAGAAAGAAGTGGTCACCTTATCTTTGCTGTCAGGGATTTTATTCAGCAATAAATCTCTGACACTACAAGGAGCAGGATTCCTTGACAAGAAGTGCTGTTGTTGTAGTAGATGAATACATTTTTAAAAAATGTGCACACATAAAAGTAGATTGCTGTACATGAAAAATATGACATCCCCTATTACCCTTAATTCAGTCTTTGGTGCAAAAATTAATATAAGACAGTCTTATTTTCTCAGGAAAACAGTGTACAATAAGTTCAAGATGTTTACTATAGATATATATGATGACAGGCAAGCAAGACTTTGAGTGATTCAAAGTCTATTTTGACATCACCTTAAGTAAAATACTGCTCTTGCACTTTAAATATTAAAAGCCTCTGTACAATCATCACCCCTTGCATTATACCTTTGGAGTTGCTTTCTAAATTATTGCTGATCAAGGGGAACGAATCAAAGACCCCAAAGCTAGTTATATATTTTTTTTTTACCGATAACATTTTTCCTAACACTTAAACAGTGTGGACATTTACGGAATTGCTTTATGTTTGTGTTATGATTAGTATTTTTCAGAAAATATTTTATTTCCAGGTTGGTATGGACAAGGCCATAACAAACTTAACAACACCTTTGGGTCAGCTTAAAGAAGAAGTTCTTGTAAGTCTGGCATAAAGCAATACAAACTGACCTAATGTTTAGTCGTAGATATCTCATATTAGCTTGTGCGTGGTACATTAGCACAAAATTGACATATTAAATCCACTGAACATCTTATAGTACTATGTTTTACTATCCTTACAGAGTGTACAAACAGCCATGGATGAGGCCATCAAAGCTGTCCAAGACAAGATTAGACAACAGCAGGAAATTCAAAGGAAGAAGGTGAGTTAACTTCAGAAGAGGGAAAAAATTTCAATTTCTGTTTCCTCATTAGCTTAGATCTTAGAAAGATGATGGTGGAATGATTAAGAACTAACAGTAGCTCCCATTAATATACAAGCTCAATCTCTGGTCAAGCACACATTTTTCAAAGGGCTGAACTCAGTCCTCCACTTGTGTAACATACAAACTCACCACCTTGTGAATAACTTTTAAAGTTTAAGGATTAGTAAGTGAAAGCCTACAGAAAATAACAGATTTTCTTAACCACTTACTTGCCACCTATTTGCTCTGGCTTTATAATTTGACATAATGGAACATAGCAACCTGATATCAAACATTCAGCTGGTAACGTTTTCTGCTATTCTTGTAAGAATATTACACTTCTAATCTGAATGTTTTTATTTATGTTATGAGAGTTGGTAGTAGCCTAGAGCGTAGCTTTCTGAACCCTTGAGAAATTTATTAAAATGATTAAACTCTTGAAATGGCTGATGTAGAATCTATTGAACAGACTGATGTAGAATCTATTAAACAGACTGATGTAGAATCTATTTAAATTGGTGCAGATTGATGGTTCCTTGGTTATAGATGACTGAATTGGAATAGAAAATAAGTACATAACACTGGTAGTTGTTGGAGATGGTAACCATGGTGATGACAGTAAATTTGTCATAATATACCCAAGTTAACTTTTGATATTATAGTTTAAAAGCTACTGTATATGAAACTGTTTTGTCATTATGATTATATAAATTCCTTAATTTTTGTAATTAATAAAAAATTATTAACAAATTAACAAAAATTAAAAGTAAAATAATTAATTTTTGTTTCTTTTCATATTTATATTTTACATTTTTAAAATGCATGTTACCAAATGAAGTTAAGATTACAGTCAAACCCACTTATCTTACCTCGGTTGACGCGCCAACCCTGTTATGCCGACGCTTTTGAAGTGGGACTGCCAAATTCTCTCTTTATCTTAGCATTTACTCCTCGGTTATGTCCATTCTTTTATGGCGCAGAACCCTGATATCTTGAGCACAAAAGGCGGCCAAATTTGCCTTTTAACCTCGGTTATCTCGATCCCTATGACCAATCACCAGCTTTTGAACTCTGCAAGAAAAAATAGCAAACAACAAATAAAAAAGTTTTTCAGTTTTTCATAATTAAAAATAATTATTTATTTCTCAAAATAAAGGACTTGTGTTTTAGAATGAACCTAGAAGTAATTTTAATAAATATGTTTTAGTTGTAGGTTTAAAAACCCGGTTGAGTCCATATTATAAATGATCATAATTTGCTGTGTGCAAAACGTTTTCATGGGCCGCCATTCCCGGTCACTTGCGTAGTGGCTATGCCGTGGTACTATGTCAGAGTTTCATTCATAAGAGTTTGCCGTGTGCAAAAGCTATTAAACCATTAAATTTAATTTTTTAATTAAATAGTCTGTGTCAAAGTTGAAAGTTCAAAATAAGTAGTCCCTAAATAGTATTTTAATAATAAGGGATGTGTTGTCTTATATAAACTATACAGTCATTGTGCAAGACACGATCAGTAGAGAATGAGGTCACAAAATGTGGAGGCTTTGTCCATAGTAGAAAATACCAAACGAACTCGCACTTTAAACATTCGTAGCTCAGAAAGTACTAACGTTAAAAGTTGATTCTGGTTTCATTTTTTAAATTTGAAATTTGCTCTAAATAAATGTAATATTTAAAAAATTATTTATTATTTTTTAACGCATTTATTAACGCACATCATGTACATAAAGAAATTTCAAGCACATGTTAACATATTGCCACCATATTGGTTATTGGTTATCTCGATCATGGGTTATCTGGACGCTTTTTTTGGCAAACCCCCAGGCCGTCGACATAACAGGGTGCTACTGTATTTGCTTAGGCGCATGAGCAATTTTATATCATAATTAGCTTAAGTTTAAGTAAGATAAAAAAGTTATGTTTGATAGGTGAAGCTGCTATAAATAGTTAATAAAAACTGAATGCATGTTAATGTTTTGATAAAAGAAATCATTTAGAAGTAAACTTGTAAACCAGGTACAAAGTATAGATTGCTCTCAGACTATTACTATTATATATCTTCCATCTTCTATCTTAGGCTACGCTTCAAAGATTAATGAACATAACTCACTCTGTTGAAAAAATTGAACAACTGCTTGGGATAAAACATGGACTTGACGCATCAGAAACTGCAAGGTAGCTATTTAAAAAAAAAAAGATTGCTTATCTATTCATAAACACAATTGCTTGGAAAGTCAATGTGCTTTCTCATTAGCATGCTTTTATCGACTTGGTCAACAAAAAGTAGTTAGTTTCATTGATAATTCTTTTCTGTAACATTTGTATTCAAATAATTTAATTTTTTAATACTTTATCTAAATCTGTTATGTTGTCAAGTGGAATTATGTATCACACCTTTGTCTTTGTTCATATAAATATCACTTTTGGGCCTGGCCCTTAAAATCTTAATTTCACATTTATCACTGAAGTTTTTTTTCTTTATTCATGACTCTATTTAAAAGATGACATGTGATTTAGTTTGCTAAATTAAAAATAACTACTTAATTTGTGCCAAATTATACATTATAATATATGCTGATTAGGGGGATTGTTAATTGTTTTAAAACAAACACCGGTACTTATTTGTTCTGTAATTTAGTGAACTGACAGGACCTCTCATAGAGCGTGTTGCCACAGAATTTAACAAACTTCAGTTTTATGTTACAAGGAGTAAAGGTCTTCCATTAGTGGACCAAGTTAAACCTGTGAGTTTAAAATAGTTTTACTTTGTTTCACTCTATTTTCAAACACTATTTTTCAAGATAGACATTAATAAATAACTCTCCCTTTTCATATTTTGGGCTTCTATTAATCAAAGAAAACATTTATTTAATAATGAACTCTTGTTAAATCATCTGTTTAAGAGTATGATTTATAATTTAAATTCTCCAATCATTTAAAACTTATTACACAATGTTCATTATTTAATTTTTGTTTCTGTCAGCGTATTTCTGCCATTACTACAACACTTCAGTGCAATCTGGAGGGTTCTTTCTTGTCTGGTCTAGAGACTGGCAATACAGCGATGCTGCGCCAGTGTTTGAGAACCTATGCTCTCATTGATAAAACTCAGGATGCTGAGAAATTGTTTAGGGAACACATTGTCCAACCTTACATGGAACGGGTAAAGTTCTCAATCTTTTAGTAGCATAAAAATCACTGTTTATTTTTGATACCCGTTACTTTAGAAGGTGAATATATCATAGTAGTCGTCATCTTTTCTTTTTTCCAATGCATTATTCCTGACTTGATGTAATGCACTTCCATATGACCGAATGATAAGTAGTTCAAGGACCTAATCACAACTCTTATCCTGTAAATAACAGATTATCAATGATGATTTTTTGCGCCATCACAATAAAGACATCTCTGTGATGTTTGACCATGTTCTGCAATTTTTTTCTGATAAATGTTCGATGCTCACAGGAATCACAACAGGAACAAGGTAATGGAGTAAAGAGTTTATATTAATCCATTGAGAAACAATTTGATAAACTGCCTCACATGGAACATAATTGATCCAATTCAAGCATATTCTTTAACTTATAAATAAGATATTAAACTGGCACAATACAGCCACAAGAAGACATATTTGCTAATTAACAATTGCATTTGAATTTAAAACAGTCAGCAGAATCTATATTTATATTTGTGTGTGCATGCTGCATATTTGTATGTGTCTCTCTATAACTACTGCTATAAGAGAAAAATTGTCCTAGTTTTTTATTATTATGTTAATCAATTAATTTTTAAAATGCTCATATTTGTGACTATTGCCTCAAGCCTTCAAACCCCTAGTGCATGATTCCCTCACAAAGTGGCACTAGAAATCAGTGAAATTTCCTCATCAACACCAGGAACAGAAACATTGCAAATCCCATTTACATGCATAGGAGCCAAAATGATCAATAAATTGATCGTGGGCCCTTAAGATTTAGAAGAAGAAGTAATTTAGTTGCTTGGTTCTAGGGCTACTGTTACCTATTCAACACAACCTGTCAATTAGGGAAAAGTTGCCCATATAATAATAAATTATTGATTTTAAAAAAAGCAGTTATCTGATTTTAATGCAGGTTTTAAAGTATCACTACCCCGGTACCCATATTGACAGTTCCACCTATGTGACTGAGTGGGGAAATATATTTAGCTGTTTCACACCAGTGTTTTACTCATGCAGTTGTTAGAAGCAATGCTTTAAGTTTTATAACTAATTTTCATGTTATAACTTGCATCTTCCTCTACATTCCTTAGCGGTGGTGAAATTGTTAGAGGCTATGATTTTGTTGTCCATGCTGTCTTCCCCGAGGTCGTTGAGAACCTTGAGCAGCAGATACCAACCATATTTGCCCCTGGAAATCCAGATGTCTTCCACAAGGCAAGTCATTGACATTGTACTCATGAGGGGCAAATCTTTATCTAGTAAATATTCACTTTATCCCCATGCTGCTTTTGCTAAGCTCATGACAAAACATGGTCATGAGTAATTTATGCAAATTTCAGGCAACTTAAATAAACACATTCAACAAATCTTTATTTTAAAATATTCAAACTTTATTTTAATACATAAATATTGTGTGATCTTTCAAAAGTGAATCGTCAAAAGATTAAAATGACTGTCCCATTTTTAAAATTATGTATACAAAAATACTTTCAGGTTTTGTTTAGCGAAACTAATGTCAAAGGTAACCCACAAACTGTCATAATGGCCGCTAATTGGCCGTTATGGATGTTTCTGTGGTTTTACGTCCACTATAATCTGCCTCTACTAAAACTAAAATCATAAGTTTTTATTTTTAAAATTTTTATTATTATTATCATCAATTTTTTTAAAGGGAAGATAACTCTAATAATTAGAATATTTTCCTATTTATAGAAAACTAAGGTAAATATTTCATATGTTCATATTTAAAAATTTTTTTTTTAATCAAGCTGACATTTTTTGTTAAAAATAACTTTTAGAACTCTGACTTTGGTCCTGCAAAATTAAAGTCTAATTTATTTGAATTATTTCTTAATGAGTGATTTGAAGATAGTTTTGTTGGCATTTCTCATGGTAGTGATAATTGGAATAGTGGAGCTAGAACTTGTAGCACTTTAATTTCTAATTTTGGAAGTATTGGAGAATAGGATTCTAATTAATTTTATAGGCATTATATAAAGAAATATATTGGTCACATATGAATTAAATTTTTAAATTTTTTTTATTATAAACCAAAATAACTATATTTTCTTAACTAAAAGAACATTTTTAAAAGGATCCAATGTTCAGTGTGGTTGTGAGCTGAGGAAAGATAATAAAACAGAAGCACAACTGTTCTCATTGTAGAAAGTTCAAAGTTATATTCATTTTACATAGCTCACAGAAATCCAAAATTCGTACCATTTGATTCCTTTTCCAAAATACTCTCAGAATAAAAATACTTAAATGGGTCTCTGGATTCATATTCGATTGTTTTTGGTTATTTTAGTGATACTTAGCAAACTTTTTAAAGTGTTAACAGCACAGCTTGTTTGCATTTGAAATTTGTGGGTTAAACAACTTGACTCTGTGTTTTGTTAGTTTATACATGAAATGTGGATTGTAAAATGCAAAACTTATGGCAAAAAAATGTAATATGGATGCTCTGGACAAATTTGACAACAGCTTTGAAAAAGAATGAAATAATTTAACAATTTTGGATGGTTAACTATTGCTTTCATTTCCTGAAATTTTATTTAAACCCATAGGTAATGAAGTACAATAAGTATTTTTCCTTGCCCATACTTTCCTGTCAGATAAATTTATGGCACAGTCCCAAACTAACTTACACCCAAGCAGACCAATCATGATTTGTCCTCTCCACAGGGCAATATTGCATGAATATCAAAAGTTAGATGGCTCAAACATTTTCTGTTGCTCTGTAAAAGCACGATATTTGGTATCATGTTACAAAGGGTTAATGAAAATCTCATCATTGCAGAAATATACCGCAACCATGAAATTCTTGGACCAGTTTGAGCAATACTGTGGTACACAAGCAAGTGTTAGACGTTTACGGCAACACACAAGTTATACAACACTAATGAACAAGTGGAACTCACAGCTGCAGGTTTACTTTCAGATAAGGTCAGTTTGTATTAAATATGCTACCAATTACTAAATAACTAACTGTTAGTCTTCACCTCATCACTCAATATTAGCTTTCATTTCATCCTACCAAACTTTATGGTGCACAGATTGAAGATGAAAGGTCCCATGGTCTATGGTAATTAACAGTATTTATTTTGACAAAAGATGTGTTTCATTTCTTTCAGATTCCAAGACATAGCTGGTTCATTTGAGGCGTCTATCTTTTCAGGGTTCATTAAATCTTCAGGTTTGTTGTTGCCATTGTCTTGGTGTTACTCCCCCTTGTCTTGGTGCTACCACCCTTGGTATGCCTCCCTTTGTATTTATATTACTTACCTTGCCATGCTAACATTATCTTGATGACAAGTTTTAATATTTGTGTTTAAAAGCAGTGATCAATCAATATGAAAATGTAAGCTCTATGTTAATCTGTTGTGTTTGTTTTCTGTGTATTTTAGAAGGAACTGGTTTTCATCTTTCTTCATCCGCTGCCTTGTGGACAAGTTTAGTAAGGTGCTGGCAAGATGATATATTCATGCCAGCGTACACACACAGGTACTAACTTTCCCACTCTCATGAGTCAATCCATTGATATCCACATACATTATCCCCTAATTTTAAACTAAGATATCACATACAACAGCCATAAAATGCTTTTTAGTACTAAAAGATACTACTTTGTTTAGAGGATGTTAACATTATAAATGCTTCAAATTATGATATGATACAATGGTTTTTTACCCTCCTGCTTACAACTGATATATTTGCCCAACCCTCCCTGTAACAGGTTTTTGAAACTAGATCTTCAACTGCTGTCAAGGTATAAGACATGGCTAGATGATGTGTATCAAGAGGAGGTAACCCATTAATCCATCTTTAATATTAGTATTAGCCCTTGTCTTAAATTTCTTTTAAAAAATCATCACTTAGTTTATTGTTCAAAATCTGTTAATTAAATCAAATATTTTAATATTAAAAAAACTAAATAATGTGCAACTTCCTTTATCTATGGCCAGTATAATTCTTTTAGGTAGCATTATTTGTTTTTGTTATAACAGTTATCTTCTTGCACCTGTAATTGAAGAGGAAATTTGTATCACAATTTTTTAATTTGATGAATCGAGTATTTTTAGTTGAGTAATGTTAATGACCGGTTGAAAGATTCCAATAAGGCATGAATGCCATGATTTAACTGATCATTTTAAAAAAAGGAGATTTTAAAAAAAACAACTTCTTAATATATATTCCTCTATATCAATATTTTTTGGAAGATGTCTCGCAAGAATGAGTCCAACCCTGAGAGTAAACCAAGATCAGCGACTCCTGACATGCAAAGTATGCCTTCCCTGTCTGATGACGTTATGACAAGGTCCATGTCTCCCAAACCAACCTATGGCCAAACAGACCAATCAAGACCTGTCCTCACCAATGGGCAAATAGTAGCACTGATGGCTGACATGGATTTATTAATTGCCAAGGTTAAGATACATGTTTGAACATGGGGAATGTTGATATTTGAAGAATTATTTGAGGCTACCCGGTATACTTAAACTGAAATAATCATAAAATTGTGAATGCCATTGACATTAAATTATTAACTTGTTATATAAACATCTTCTCAGATTCCAATTTTGTATGAAGAAATAATAAAGCCAAAGTTATCCACCCTTGGTTTAGATGACTCTTCTGCTGTAAAAGGTAGGCCATTATCCTTGTTGGTTGTGCTTTACTTAGTTTAATAGCTGATTTAGATTGTTTCAGATTCAGATGATTATCTAGCTTACCAAACTATTAAGAATTTAATGCCTTATCTCCAGATGCATTAATTGGTGGATTACAAGCAAGTTGTGAATGTAGGCCAAGATTCTGGAGTATAGTCACGGAGGATGTTGTGAAAAGATGCAGCACTTTCTTGGCTCAGGTCAATGACATCCCAAGACTTTACAGGAGGACTAATAAAGAGGTTGAGTACAATATAATCACTCCATTTTGTTAGCTTACTTTGCTTTAGTTAAATTCTTTATGGTGATGATCTTTAACCAAAAAAAATTCTTAAATAAATTAGTTTCTTCAGTACCTGTAATTAATCTTAGATTTCTATAATTGTCAGTTACCCGGTATTTCTAAGAATGCTAAAAAAATCTCTACAGGTAATAAGCTTTGTTTGTTTGGTGGCTCAGACGTTGAACATTATATATTTATATATACCGGTACTCATAGGCTTTTAACCAGAACTTATCTGCTTAACTGTTTCAGCATCAAAACTTAAGATCAGGCTACTGTTGTTATATATTAATTCCATAATAATTTATAATAAAATGCAAATTTCAATAAAAACTCTAGCCAGGTGACCTAATTTTTTTTGTTGTCATTATTAATTAATTTAGCAGCCATACCCTCACATATATTGCTGTAATGACTTGTGTTCCAGGTCCCAAGCAAACCATCCACTTACTTGTCCAGTGTCATCAAACCACTGAGTCAGTTTTGTGCTGAGCATTCTCAAGCCTTAAATCAACAACAAAAATCTGAATTCCTCACTCATGTCTTTGGTACACTGAGTCAACAGTAAGTGTCATCTTAAGATATAGTCATCAAAATTATAATTTAAATGACAACAAACAAACTTAGAGAATTCAACCTCTAAAATGATTATTTTGCACTAAAAAATTACCCATCAGACTCGATGATATTACAGTGCATTACATGCTTAACATTACTTTTTATTTTACAGTTAATTTCTGAGTAGACTTGTTTACCCCTGGGTTAGTGTCAGGGTAGTTTTCAGCTCTCAAAAACATAGATTCAAGCTCCAAAGAGCAGTGGGGTGGGGGAGGGGGATGGCAGTCAAAATACAATGTGTTGTGTTTGTTTCAGAAAATCCACAACTGCTTATGTTGCTATTATTAGCATTACTACACTAGTTCTAATAGTGTGATGTACCTTTGATTTGGTAACTTTTAATAATGAAATATCTAAAACTAAAGAAAAACACAGAGTTGAATGATGGTACCAGTAATCATATCCTGTTTCAAACAAGGCTTTTATCATGTGATATGTATAATTATTATAAAAACAGTTACAGTTTTTACAAGGCTATTACTTTATTCTATTTTAAATAGATTTTCAGAGGTCACTGCAGAAGTTTTGACTTCAACAAGAAAAATGGAGGAAAGTCTCAGACGCCTAAAAAAAGCAAGAGGGGGGGAAAAAGAGAAGGAGAAGGCAGGAGTCGGTGACTCCGATAAAATTAGGACGCAAATCATCATAGACATCCAAAGTTTTCATTCACAGGTAATTAATTCTCTTTACAATTGAAATGGATATTTAAATGGGAAGTCTAGTTTGATGGTTGTTAGATTCTAAATAAGGAAGTACTTTAAGAGTAGTCAAATCATTTTTCAGAGTTTATAATTCACATCTGACAATCAATTGCTTAGTTTTAAAAAGATATTATCAATGTCAAAACTTTCCAATTACAAATAATTTGTTTCACTAAATTCTTTTAGTAGCTTAAAAATTGTTTTTGTGCTCTCCTTCATTTAAATCTTGTCTTAAATTCAGGAGCTGTATGTGGAAAATTTAAGTGATATCCTAAAGAAATAAAAATATATTTTTGTGTGCATCTTTACACAGAAGTTTGCCTTTGAATGCCACAATAATTGAGTATCAACTAATTCCTGGCAGCTATATGTGTCTGTATTCCTTTCTTTCAGATGCAAGAGTTTGGTCTAGTGCCCAGCAGTATAGAAGGATTTACAAAGCTGTCAACATTAGCACAAGAAGCTCAGGCAGACATAACATCATCCAACTGAATATAATTAATATTGATAAATTTCTTTCCTTTCTACTTACTGTAATGAGAATATAATATATCTATATGATAATTGTTAGTAGGTTGTTTATTTATTTTACACATGATTTTAAAATCTAGCTGTATTTGTGATATTATCTATGCATATTTTAACGATTTAAGTTTATCAACACAATACCCACAATGTGATGAAAATTATTTTTCCATCTGAACTTGCTCATTTGGTGAATACATACTCAATGGAATGATAGTAAGAGGACCGACAAACTATTGACCTCTTCAGCTTCTATATAGAGTATTCTGTATGGCATAGCTCATCACAATTAAATTGCTCTGCCACAAGACTGTAGCGTAAAAGTTTGTTTCCCATACAGCCATAAAACATACATCATCAAATTTAAATCAGGCTATTATTAAGCTGAACACATTAAAACTGATTTCCTGCAAGTGGTGAAAAAAAAAGGAGCATAAAAATCCTTGTTTGACATACATTTTTCAACTCAAGATCAGCGTGTGTTTGTCTGCATTTGTGCTGTCACGCATGGACTATTGCAATTCTCTCATGGTGGGTCTTCCAGCTATGCTCCTTGATAAAATTCAGATAGCACAGAATAATGCGGCTCGAATTGTTCTCCGCAAAAGCAAGTTCGACAATGCAAAATCGATTCTGAGAGAGTTGCATTGGCTGCCGGTGCGTGCTCGCATAGAGTACAAAATCGCAACTTTGTGCTACCGCTGTCTACATGGCCTGGCGCCGTCCTATCTGAGCGAGCTGCTGACGCCTTATGTACCCAGTAGACAACTCCGCTCATCCGACAGTGGCAAACTCTTGACACCACGTGTTCGCCTTGAGACTTGCGGAAAGCGCACTTTCGCATTTGCTGGTCCAACAATTTGGAACGCCCTTCCACTCGATCTCAGAAACATCCAGACACTGGAGTCCTTTAAAACCGATTTAAAGACACATTTATTTCGCAAACACTTTCTGGGATGATTGTCTACCATATTTTCCATTTAATGCATATTGGCTGTGTTGCTCACGGTTGAAATGGGTTGAAAGACTTTGACATTGTATGCTTGTAATTAGTTTTTGCAGTGTTGCGTTTGTTTTAAATGTGGTAAATTATAGATTTGTTTTTTTGTTGACTTTGTACCGCGCTTCGAGCCTTTGGGGATGAAGCGTGTTTTTGAAATGAACTTTATTATTATTATTATTATTATTAAATGAAGGATGACATCTTAAGATTTACCAAAGTATTGATATAGAAATGCTTAGACCGGTATAGAATGACTCAGTAGAAAAAGTGAAGAAAACCAGTAGGTCTACCCTTGGTGAAGATTTTACAAGAAAATGTTAAGAGATTAAAATCACTACAATAGACTCTATCCAAAAAGTAGTAGGCTTTCTTACTCCAAGTCCTTAAAGCAGTCCTCAAAATATTTAGTCACCATAAAATTTAAAAAAACCCATATATTTTAAACATGCAAAATAATAAGAAATGGGTGTATTTCTGTAATTTTTACAATAAGTGTCAAGATTGCACGATTGTTAAAAATAAAGGGGAATCCTAATATTGAAATTAATTTCTTTATTTTAAATTCAAGGTTGTTCGAGGCAAAACTATGGAGGAATGGTTGCGGTTTTCTGTATGCTTTTGGCACACTTTCAGAGGAACAGGTAAAGAAGTATAGGTTTACATTTTTGAAGTGTGACATAAAATGGAATCACTATTAAAATTTAAAAGATGATTTTAAAAAAAAAGACATATTTCCCTTTAGAATCCTTTGCTTATAAGCTCTAGAACTTTTAAGATCACAAAAAGTGACAGTAATGTTGTATGTAAATTATATAACTTTAAAAAAATAATTAATTACATGTTTAATTTGCGGATAGGTTGTTAAATTGATTTGGTTAAAATTGAAATTGTTTTTCTCATGACTTCATTATTCAGGGTGTCAAGTTAAAAAAAAGTAACACTAATTATTTTCAGGTGCAGACCCCTTTGGATTTCCTACTCTTGTCAGGCCATGGGATGATGGAAGTAACAGCCTGGAGAATGCTAAAAGAAGGCTAAGGGCCGGGTTTGAGTTTTTCACTAAATTGGGTGTTAAATATTGGACATTTCATGACAGGTTTGTATACTGTGGACTTAAAAGTCCCAATGCCTTTTTTTTGTGCATGTGTAAAAATGAAAGCTATAGACTGCTTTCCTTCAGTTAAGTCTATTCTTGACTTTATAAATTCATTTGTTTACATTTTGTAGCTGTATATTATTGTAGGGTGATGAGAAGAATGGGATATAATACAATGTTTTTTATGCAGAGATTAATCCAGATTGCTTTTTTATTTCCCAAACTTCAAGGCCAGTACTGAGATAACATCATGTATAATATCAGTATAATAACCCATTTTGCTACATGTACCACGGAGATATAATAATCTACAATTGCACTAAAATTTTGAGAGTTTTTGGTACAGATAAAGTAATATTAGCTCTTAACAAAGCAGATCTAATTGTTCTGATTCACCAACATTTTAAGTTTTATGTTCATGCTTTCAGGGATATTTCACCAGAAGGGGAAAACTTGGTGGAATCAAATAGATATTTGGATGAGATTGTAGATCTTGCTGCGCAACTTCAACAAAAAACAGGTGTCAAATTGCTATGGGCAACCTGTAACTTGTTTGCTCATCCCAGGTAAATACATCCTTGCCTTGCAAAGTTTAAGTTAACAAGTGTGGTGAATTCTTAATGTGCATTCAGTCAAAATGTTTTACAATTTAAAATAAGGAGAATTTTTTTTTTATAAATTTGAGTTGCAATTAAGATACCTTTGCAGTTTACCTAACAATAGTGTTAATTAAAAATGTTTGTTACCTTTGAGATACATGAATGGTGCCAGTACCAACCCAGATGCACATGTTTTTGCCTATGCAGCAGCACAAGTTAAAAAAGGGCTGGATGTTGCACTGAAACTGGGAGCAGAGAATTTCGGTAATAATATTTTAAATTATATTTAAGTCTTCTATAATTGTTTTAATAAACAAAACTTTTATGTAAGCTGAAATGTAAAATAATATGTTAGTCAGTTACAAAAAAAAATTTCTTTAATTTATTATTGAAATAGCTTTTTTTTTCGTTTCAGTTTTTTGGGGAGGCCGTGAGGGTTTTCATTCCCTGTTAAACACAAATATCAGAGCAGAGCTGGATCACATGGCCACATTCTTCAAACTGGCAATATGTAAACAATTTAAAAAATGGCTGTTTAAATAAACTGGTCTAACCTATCAAAAAAGCTTATAAAATGATGAAAGAGTATGATAATTTGTCAGCAGAAAATTTTAAGTGTGGCAAACAATGTGTACAAGAATCTTAAATTAATTAATTAGGGAAAATTTAATTATATTTAATTTAGAATTCTTAGCTAATGACTATTTCTGGGTTACCACAAAATAGGGAACTCTTTTATTATAATTTAGTTAGTAGGCTTAGACTACACAACCACAGAAACTTTTAGTCACTGACATTAAAAGTAGTTAACACATTTAAATAAAGAAAATTACATTATAAAATAGCTTTTACTTTATATACATTGTTAAACAAATAAGCACTTGGAATCAGTGATATATCATCAACACCAGGAACAGAAACATTGCAAATTCCCTCTACATGCATAGGAGCCAAAATGATCAATAAATTAATCGTGTGCCCTTAATATATATTGAAGAAGAAGAAACAATGATTTATGAGCATAATAATGAAATAATTCAACAATGATATTTAACAATTTTCTAAAAAATTATTTTCATTAAATTAGAATTAGGCCCCACCACTGAAAAAGCTCTCTAAACATTTTCATATTTTACAACTTCAACCATTTTTTTAAACCAGCTTACAAGAAAAAAATTGGCTTCAAAGGTGTTTTCTTGATTGAGCCTAAACCTAAGGAGCCAAGCAAGCATCAATATGATTATGGTAAATGTTTTTATAAATAATGCAATAGTAAGATCTAGCGCATCTCAGTTATTTTATTTTTTGAATTCCACTTTGTCTTCAGATATTTTAAATGGAAATAAAGAAAGTTCATATAAATTTAATATATAAGTTGTTCAGTTCTATTTTCTCTCATTACATGTATTTTTGTGTCTTTGAACAGATGCTATGACAGTTATTGCTTTCCTAAGAACATATGGGCTGGAGAAAGAGATCAAGGTGAACTATTTTAACTCCATTTATTGATAATGTTTATATTATAATTATCTGAAGGCTGCAGATAAATTTTCCATGAAAGCTGATGGATAGATTTATAAAATTAAACATGTGCTTAAATTTAAAAAAAAAAAAAATTAAACAAAAAACATTTCAGCAATCTCCATAAATGGTTCCTTGTCTCTGTTTAAGAGTATTATTTTTTAAGCAAAATTCAATCATAATAATTTTTAATAGTTGAAAATTGAAAAATAGGATGCTCTTTTATAAATTTCAACATAGGCCCTAATTATCTGGAGTCGAAGAATCATTTTGAATAGGGCCAGATTTATACCTTCAGAGCCCCTAGGCATTCAAAATTTGTACCCCTCATCCCCCCAAATTACCCATATCCATAGCTTTGAGTTTAAGTGAACCTGTTTAATATCATCACTGCCAAATGAAAAAGTATTTTTGTTGTACAATTTTATACCATGACCCAATCAGCTGAGATTGTCCTTTTTAAAAATTCTATTGGGTTTTTCCCTTACATTTTTTTTCTCCTATGTCTGATTTGCACATCACTACTATAAATTTTGTCACTACATTCAAGATCAAATCAAGTCCCCCCAAAAATAAATTCCTTTTTGCAGGTCCCTAAAGGGCACTAGGCTAGTAAGCTCATGGCTACTTTGTCTATAGGCTATAAGGCACTGATTTTGAATATTATGAATGTCATTTATTTTCAGCTGAATATTGAACCAAATCATACAACTCTGGCAGGTCATGCATATGAACATGATATTGTCTTTGCTTCTGCGTAAGTTTTTACTCACTATATTAGACAATAAATGTATCTGATTTTTTACCAAAGAGATTTCTGATAAACATTACACATTGATATCATTTTTCTTTTAAATATAATAATAAATTTCATTTTAAAGCATAGTAGTGATACAGAATATATATTTGTTTTTTCAAATGAAATGTGTAAATGAATATTAACAATTATTTTAGTTATAATATGCTGGGTTCGGTGGACTCTAACACTGGGTCACCTGACTTAGGCTGGGATACTGACCAGTTTCCCATGGATGTCAAGAATGCAACAATGGTTCTGCAGGTACAATACTTGTGAGCAATTTGTATATCTAATAATTACACTTTTCAAAGAAATGGTCTTCTGATTCTTTCTAAAGGAGGGATGGGTTCGCAACCTTTTGGTAATATTGTGCCAAAGCAGGATTCCTACTTTATTCAGCGTTCCAACTTGCTATTAGCCTACCTTATAAGAGCCATTTTTATCAATATATTTTTGTGTGGTATTTTACGTGGCATTGAAAATTTCCCAGCAAGCTAAGTCTGGCATTTGTGCCCTAGGTTGGGTACCCCTGCTCCTGCTATAGGGAACTATGTAAAGCTAAAAATAAATAAATATTTTATTGAGGTATAACTGAAGATAATTTTTGAATGAAAACCCAGGATATTAAAGCTCATGAGTAATGACACGACCTTCGAAATACACAATAACTACAAGACCTGACGTTTACATAATTAAAATGGATCACTTGCAGCAATTATTATTTAATGTTACATGACAACACTTATGTAATTAAACCTTTTAATACTGTTAGAACCTAATCTTCTATTTTCTTGTCTATCTCATGATCTGCAAAGCTCAAATTGTTTTTTTGCATTAATGGGAATTATTTTTTGTACAGTATATTTCTATCCAATTATTAATTTCAGGTGATACTTAGACAAGGTGGTTTACAGCCTGGTGGTCTAAATTTTGATTGTAAAGTGAGACGTGAATCAACAGATCTAAAAGACATGTTCATAGCTCATATTGGTAAGATATTTAAAATGCAATAATTTTTTTTAAATGAATTATTGGGGTTTTTGTAACTAATGTTTCCTACAGCATTGTTAATTAAAACGAAAAATCTGGTATCATGATATATGGGATTAATGCATTATATGGGACAGACTAACAATTCATTTCTTTTACTCTCACACCGATTCAGTGTGCTGAACGTTTGAATTTAATATGCTGAGTACCGAAACATTGGGAACCACAAACTAATGATACATTATAATAATAATAATAATAAAGTTCATTTCAAAAACACGCTTCATCCCCAAAGGCTCGAAGCGCGGTACAAAGTAAAAAAAAAAACAAATCTATAGTTTACCACATTTAAAACAAACGCAACACGACAAAAACTAAGTACAAGCATACAATGGCAAAGTCTTTCTAGCCATTTCAACCATAAGCAACACAGCCATTATGCATTAACTGGAAAATAATGTTGACAATCATCCCAGAAGGTGTTTGCGAAATAGATGTGTCTTTAAATCGGTTTTAAAGGACTCCAGTGTCTGGTTGTTTCTGAGATCGACAGGAAAGGCGTTCCAAATTAGTGGACCAGCAAATGCGAAAGTGCGCTTTCCGTAAGTCTCAAGGCAAACACGTGGTGTCAAGAGTTTGCCACTATCGGATGAGCGGAGCTCTCTAGTGGGTACATAAGGCGTCAGCAGCTCTTTCAGATAGGATGGCGCCAGGTCATGTAAGCAGCCTTGTAAAAGGCCAGCATTGCTTTGTGTATCTATGTTTTCTTTGTTACTAGGTGCCATGGACACATTTGCCAGAGGCCTGAAAGCTGCAGCAAAAATCTTGGATGATGGTGTCATTAGCCAGGCAGTACAGGTACATTTAATATATACTATTTACATTAATAATGATGGGCTGTCAGATCCTTAAGTTAAACCTAGCCAATAAATATTAGTTTCAGAAATTTAAAAAAACGCCCAATTATTCATTTACCCTAAAAATAAAATTGTGTCAAGGGAATTCCTTAAAAATTTTTCTTCAAGTGCATAGAAAAATGTGATTTCCCATCCTGTAGGTCACTATTATTTCATTTTCTATTAGGAACGATACAGTAGCTACAAAACTGGCATTGGGGCTAAAATTGAGGAAGGAACAACAAGTCTTGAGGAATTAGAGGTCAAGTTTAAAAAAAAATTAAAACTAATGTAATAACATGATGGACTGGTTTTTTATTTTACCATATTTCAAATATTTGTACTCGGTAGCAACAATAGGATAAAATGACATCACTGCCTCACACATTTTCATCTTCTCTATATATTCATATATCAAGACAACAAACTCTAAAGATGGCATGTGCTTACTCTAAATCTCTAACAGAGTTGATTTGTGTCTTTAATCTATTTCAGCTATTGGCTCAATGAATAGTTGAAAAATATTTTGTTAGAAAATTGCTTTTTATTAAAATAATAATAATAATAAATAAAATTCTTTTTGTAAATATTAATACCGTTATTTAAAATTTCAATTCCATGTCATAAATCATTCATTTATTTAATTTGATTTTTTCCCACATCCAGGAATTTATCCTACAAAATGGCGATCCTGCTCGCATATCTGGCCAGCAAGAGCACTTTGAGAATATGCTCAACTTTTATGTTTAAACTGGTTGCAAACACATTTTAAAGGATTTTTAAAAATATAAATGAGACAATTAACTTTAAATATAGCTTTGGTTGTGATAAGCAAACTAAAAAATGTTTCACATGTGCTATCTTGTTAATAAGAACCCATGTGATGTATTATTTTTTTAATCAAATATAATTAATATATTCCCTACCTCATGTCGTACCTAAACAAGATGTTTAAAATATAAATTTATGTCCATAGGTCTGTAATAATAGTAACTAAATCCAAGATTTAGACTTATATAAGTTTAATTTAAAAAGCCGAACATTTATGTGAAAAAATGTATTTCAATGTAAGATTTGTTATAAATTATTTATAAATAAATATAAATTTACCTATCAGATTTACTATTGTAAAGTTTGTAAAACATTGAAATAAGCTGTTATGATACAATCTCATTGATTCATCAGAATAGAGCTTTTAATTAGTTATTATTGGTACAATACGATTAATAACTGAATACTCAATATTGTAATTAAAACAGTAGTTGTTTAATAAAGTGGAAATGCCAGTGTTTCTTGTAAGGCTAGCAAATAAACAGAGCGCATTTTTCGAATGTGGCTTCACAGACTCTAAAGCTAGGAGCCATAAAGTGACAAAAAATATAATATAAATTAATCAGTACTATTTCTTTAACACGAATGACTGTCCCCTCAGAGTTGTGTTAGAAAAATATATTTTTGTTTTTTGCCATCTGGATATAGGTGAAAATCGACCTCCCCTTCTTTGCTATACCAATTAATATTCATCTAATCTTTAAAGAATACCAAGAGTACCACCCACCTTGAGTACAACTCACCTGAGCATCACCCACCTGTGGTAATATTTTTCTTTTTGAATTTACTGAGAATTATTTTTTCCATTTCATACAGAAGTAAAAAAACAACAAAAAAACAGTGATTAAAAAATAAAGTATTCCTTTTAATATTTTTCCAAAAACATACAAGTGCCCAAAATATTTACATTAGGAATTTCAAAGCTTTTACGAGCTCAATCTGCTGCACATAGCAAAATGTAAGTAATTACTATTAAATCATATTTGATTTCTCACTCTAGGCAATCAATTTGATTGTTTTACCACATAGTTTTCATTTGTAGCAATATATTTGTGAATGGTTAAAGTTCCCGTAATTGTGGAAGCCAAACAAGTTTTAAATCACAAGTCACAAAGAATCAGAATGAACTTATTTCAATATTCCCCCGAGCTTTCCATGTACAAAATCACCTGATTAAAACATTCTTCTAAGACACGCCAGACACTCATTTTAGGCAAGGGTTGTATAAGCAATTTATATGGAGGCAATTTTTTCAACTTTAAAAATATTTGGAAATAAGTAAAGTATTTTTATTTTATTTAATTACCATTAGTCATGGCCTGAAAATACAAACTGCTGGAGACTTTGGATTTGATACTAATTCTATGACAGAACCTTAAAAATTCAAATAAGATTATGAAGAGCTGAACATGATAATTATGTTGTTTAATTCGTTGAAGGAGATTGATTTGTTCATCTAATGCTGCACTGCCGTTGATGTGAAACAAAAAATCTCAGTAATTATGAAAGTAGGTTTCTTATATGGCTTACTAATGTGATCTAAATTTTTAGATTTACAAACAGCTGTATTTGCAACTAAAAGAATCCCTCTTTTTGATAAATGGAAAAATTATAATGATAAACTATTGTAGCTTTTCCTGTTTTTTTGTTGGACAAAGATACTGTCAACAGCAAAGAATATTATTATTCTCTTTTCAATTTAGTTTTAAAAAATTACAATTAGTGCATCATTGTGAAGATTATTGAAAATCTGCAACACATCTGCCCAACACCCGACCCATGGGCTGGTTATAATTAGAAAATTGTTGAAATTTATTTAAAGATGCAAAAACAAAATGAAAGGAACAGGTATACTTCCATATCAATTGCATTGGTAACCAGGTAAACTACAATATGAGATGTGATCTAAAGTTTATAGCACATTACATTTAACACCATGTATCAAATGATTTTGAAGTTACTAAATATCATACCCTCTAATGCAGAATTTATTAAATATCATACCCTCTAATGCAGAGGTTATTAAAATAAATGAAGCCGAAGGTCAAGGTATGTTAAAGTTTAAAAAAAAAGATAAAATAAAATATTCAATGTGTTGGATAGGAGCTTGGCATAAAGAGACAAAGAATAAATAACCCAAAAATATCAATGTATAAGATTTCATAAAACTCAACTGTTATCTGTATTAGGTCAACACATATGACAAGGTAGGTAACCTACAACTAAGCTTTTTTGGGTTAGATTAGACATGGAACATACATTTCTTAACAACACCACAAACAGACTAAACAATTTTCAAAACACTCCGATCTTTGCTTTGAGTTTTCTTTCACACAACAAATTATTCTGTGGGCTCACATTGTCAAAAGAGTTGACCTGCGGCATGGAGTTTGTGTCAAAGTTGGGCATGTATCATCTAGAATGTTCTATACATGGGACATTTAACAGGCAAAAACAAAACAGACAACTGTTTTAATTTTCTTTTAAAAGTAAATTTAAAAGCACTCAATTTTAATGGATAACAAATGACCTGCCCTTACAAATAAGTTAACGAAAACTGTAATATAACTCAAAGAACTAAAGATTTTGATACAAATTCAATGCCCTTTAATACCAAAATAATTTTTCAACAAATCCCGATTACAATATGAAATCGTTTACTTAAGGAATGGAGTTGTAAAATAATGGGAAAAATAAATCCAAATTGAACACATACAATGTCAATGATGCAGTGTTAGTTGATTTTATTATGATTTTATGGGTTAAGACGATGAGATAACTGGACTCATGAGTGGACATAGTCCATTGTCTCAAAAGTTCCCTGGTTGGATTGGTGGATAAGATTTAAAAAAAAAAATCCAGCATACTTATAATTGTAATGTTATCTGCAAAATTAATCAGCAGTCCTGAATACAAAAAATACAAATTAATAGAACTTGACTAATGCCAATTTGAAAAATAATAATGAAAAAATAGCAAGTTTTGTTGAACGGTAATAGTAATAGTTTATGAAACTTTTACATTTAGTTTTATTCAAATTCAAGAACTCTTATTAATGATGAGGCAGTTTTTCAAATATGATAAAGATTTTAACAAATATCAACTAAATATGGGTATACAAATATAATATCCCATTTGATACATTCAACATGTTTGATAACAAATGTAAAGTAATATTGAAGCATAATTGGCAGATAACACAATTTGGTGGTGGTGGTTTTGGGGGGGGGGGTGTTGTTGGATTAAGGGAACTATGCATCCAATGAACCTTCAACATATGCAGTTATTTTGTAAATAAAGGCACCATCATATGTTAATATTTTAGTATTTCTTAGAGTTAAGAAAAGATGCTTATGATATTTATTAAATAATGGGAATATGGTAAAACTTTTGAGTAAAAAAAAAAACAATTCCAAAAGTTTGAGCTATGGCTAAGTGTAACAGCTATCATAAAGATGTAAGAAAGAAAATACCTTGATTACATATTGAAATAAAGTTGATGTTACGCCTCAGATTGCTAAACTCGGCTCAGATTGCTAAACTCGGCTCAGATAGCTAATCTCGGCTCAGATTGTTAAACTCGGCTCAGATTGCTAAACTCAACAACCAAATTTTTAAAACAAAGACAATAAATACAAACAAGAATGTACATTTTATTTTGTCCACCTGTACCCAAGTATTCAGTGATAAGCAATTCTTACTTATGTGCTAGAAGTGATCATGAACATTTATTGAAAACTATTGATAAAAAGATTTAAATTTAAGGATTAAGGCAAATCAAAGTTTACTTTACACCCAAAAGAAATATAATTTCGATGCAGGTACCTATTGAAATGTGTATACTTTTAAGTGTGCAACAGAAGTTGATAATTACTTAGCTTAAGCAACTTTTGCACCATGAACCAACAAAATTAAAATTTCCGTTCTGGTATTTTTGTTCTGTGCTAGTGATCCATGAGTTTGCATGTCACACCTCAGCACCTAATGCATCTTTATTACTGGTTCGTAGCTCATGCTGACCACCTCTCACAAGTCATCATAAACTACTATTTGATTGAACATCGATTACTAGGGATAACTTTACCCTCAAATTAATGATTAACAAAAAAACAATTAGCATTGCATTAATCTATTAATAACTTAATAAATGTACAAATAAACATATAATAAAAACATGTCAGTTTATGGCACAATAATTTACTGTGGGCAATTCAGGTAACTCAGACCTTAAATTTCAGAGAAGTAGTGTAAATGCCTACAAGTAAGTCAAGTTAAATATCTACATAACTTTCAAGAAATGCTTTGATAAGGACATTTTTAAACTTAAAAATAATAATATTTGTTTAGTTTAAAGAAATATCAAGTAAAGAGATGTATGACAGCCTCATATCAGACTTGGAACAACATAATAATATATTTAAAGGGATTTAAAGAAAAGAAAGCATTAACTACGACAGCAAATATTTACATAATACATTTTTTGATGTAAAATGATCCATATGATAGAATCCTTTTTTTGTGTGTGTACGTAACATACAAATTGCTTAATTAAGAGTCAGAATTTACCATTACAACACAAAAATTCAAAATTATGTTTGTAAGAATTTGTTGAGACCTTCCTTAAAGCATAATTTTAAATTTTATTAAACAGGATTTTAGATTCATCTTGAAATCTTTTTGTTCCTCTCCAAAGAAGAATTGTGCTGGGATGCATCTTTACTGTATTAGTTTAGTCATAAATGCTAAAGAAACCAACTTATTGACCAAATATTGCTTCAACTGGTTAAGGTGCTTAATACTGCTATAAGTTTTAAAACTAAAGATTGCTGTCCCCTACCAACTCTGAGTGGCGTAACGCTGATCCCTACAACTCTGAGTGGCGTAACGCTGATCAATAGAACATTAGCAAGACAATACTTTTAAGATATCTTATAAATTTACAGTTGATGGGTAGAGCGACTAATCACTAAAAACTCATGATACCCCACTTGTCTTAAGTTTTGTTAATATTCAATTGTAAACATTGTCAGGATTATTAACAGTGGTACCGATTTAGTTTGCTAAAAAACAGAACCAAAAAAAAAAAAAGTTGAAGATTGCTATAGCATCTTTATAGGCTGGTTTGTTTACAAACACATCTAGAGTTCCTTATTATCTTGTGTCTGAACTGGAAGATTTATAAGCTTGTCAAGCTGCCCAAATCATACAAGTTGGATAATAGACTCTTGGTTTAATCATCAGAAAAATCTGTTCCAAAATAACGGTCACCAAAATTGCCTGAAAAAAAGTTTTCTTTGGTAAATATATTTATCACTAATTACTACTGAAAGATGAATGAAGGATATTTAAAAACGGAAATCATGAGGGTTAGTTTCTTTCTATCATAAACACAATATAGTTTAAATTCTGCTTAGAATACATTAGAATTATAATAAAAATGTGGAGTTTTAATGTAACGCTGTTATACAACTGTATAATAAGTATTTTCTGAACTAAAATAAAAATAATATGTAAAAAGCCATTTCTTACCAATGCCAGGCAATATATGAAAGAATTCATTAACGTCCCTGTCAACTGCCGTTGTTACAATTTTAACTTTGGGGAATGCATAGGCCACAGTATGGACACCTGATGGATGTCAAGTCATATCAAATTGGACATGCAAAAATTATCTAAAATATTTCGTTGAAATGGCTAAATGTTGATGTGCAGTATAAAATAAGATCATGTTAGCCCGGATATGTTAGCTCATAACTCCGTCTAAAAGTTTCTTTGCATTCCATTTAATCAAAATTATTTTAATCTATCTGAACCTCTAAATAAATTGTTTATTTTGGCCCTTTCAGCCTGATGTCTTTATAAGAATATTTCTTTGAATAGCCAGTGTAACTGCTTCAATGCTCACCAGACTCAGCCATCAAGAGGGAGCAAAGAAATATTTTCTCCTCAGGCACATCATGGTCTAAGAGGACTCGTATTGCCATCATGGCCGCTGCTCCAGTAGCTACAGTGGCGTCCAAAAGAAAGATGTATTGGTCTTTGATGTCTCTTGGCAGACGTGTATAGTGCAGCTTAGAAAAGATGTGAAAAAAAATTTAGTGAGAATGAATTAAAAATGCAAAGACACTGCAAAATTTACATTTTAAGCATCTTCAAAATCAAATGTGAGTTGAGTCTAAAAATTAAAATGATTCAAAGTTCCTTTGCCTCCAAGGTTACAAAATTAATAAAATTTCTCAAATTTTTTCTAATTACAGACCTGTTTACCTTCCAACTCTTAAAATCGTACACTATCCTCACAAAATCGTTCAATACATTATCTGAATAGTAAAAAAACACAGTATATATAATATTTAGGCCTCAAAATCGTACATTGTACGCCAAAATCGTGAGAGTAAACAGGTCTGTAATTAGTAATGTCAGGTTAAAAAAATAATTTGAGATGGCATTCCTTTTATTTCAAAAAAAATATTTAAAAAATACACAATTAAAAAATTTAAATTATCTCCATATTTAATCACATCATAAGATAATGTAGACAAATGAAATCTTTCAAAGTTATTTCTAATTGAAATTATAAGGAGCACCAGCAAGGTTTAATGTGACATTGCTTTGTTGATTTCAAAGCTCACCATTTGCCGGCAGTCTCACAAATTGGCATCTAAAAAGCTTTTGGAAATTGACCAATAGCTTTCATTAGTTGCAGAGAAATATTTAAACAAAACAGAAGGCCATTATAATGATACACAACACACTTAACATCATAGCTGCCAATACCCCTTGTCTGTCTTCAACTTCAAAGTAAATAACTGACTTGAATTTTTTTATTTTAAGTTTGTACAAGTACAAGACAGTGTTAAAACAATTACCTCTGGCTCTCCTGTGTCTAAGTTTGTTTGTATGAGTATTTTACCAATACTGACATCTTTGCAGACTTCACAAAGGGCTTGCTCCATTGTCTCCCCTGCTCTCAATATTGACACACCAGCTATCTAATAAAAATGTGAACACAGTTTTCAATGATAAAACTAATATAAGATTGTTCTCAATAAAGTTAAGATGCCATTACAAGCATCTGTTGATGCTATTACCTGGGGGGATCTGACTGAACATCTCTAAGTCAGAGACCCGCACCGCCGAGGCGAGTTGGTGGTGTCACATGGGGTTTGCCTCTTCGCGGCGTGCCAGACTAGTAGGGAGGTTTTGTTCTCCCGAAGCCAAAAACCCCGGCCATTAGCATGACTCCCAACGCAACGGGAGTAATGCAATAACATGTTACTTGTTGCCGTTAATGGATATGAGGTCTGGGTGGTGGATAAAACCCTTACCAACGATTTTAGCTACGCGGCCCTGAGAAAGCCGCTCCTAGGCGATATTTCATCCCAGCTTTCCCAGAATGGACGACCCCCTGGGTGGTGGGGGGAGGTAACGCAACACCTTCCCTCCGGAATGGAAGCAAAGCTATCCTGACCCACAGAGAGTGACGATGCTGTTACAAGCACCTGTTTTAATGGTATCCACTTTTATGTTATGCATGTGAAGGAATTGTTTTGATCTATCTACTATCCCAGTGTTTTGTCTTGAGTCACTATCAGTCTTCACATAAGATGGTGAATCGAACATTATGTTGCCATAGAACCATGTTGAGTCACTAAAACTCTTGGGTATAATACATCCCACAGTTTCCATCAAAATTTGCAGGTACATTGATGTTACAGAGTCTTAGCATTAAATTATGTGGTGGTTAATAGTCTTTTGATTTTTACCACTTAACATGAGTAATTGTAATTTTTAAAAATTTTAATTAGGAGCTATATGATCAATTTTGGGTACATTTTCATATTTGAAAAAAGTATAAGACTGTATACATGTTATTCGCAAACTTGATGTTTGTTCCTTTGAATAGAGAAAAGTGTGAATATTATATTCAAGATTCTTACAATAGTTAATAGGAAACAGCTTATTTGATAATAAATTCCATCCTAAAATGTGAACTAAAACAAATGTTCAAAAATTTCCCATTTGAAATTAACTTAAAAATGTGCCATTCTTAAAAGCTGAACAAGCCCCTAAATAAAATAATTATAGGTTGTAGTAAGCAGTCATACTAAACAGTTTTACTGAAATGTGAATAGTTATGTCCAAAAGGTGCACAATAACAACACTAAAGATGAGTATGTCAGCCCCGCATTGTAAAAGGTAATTTTGGTAAACCAACCTTATCAACAGCAAGACGTTTTCCATGATAAAATACACCAGGCTGGATCTCTACAACAACATCCTTGACAACAGATGAGAACAGATACAAATTATTTTATAATTAGAGGTGAATATCCATTTGTTTTTAATATTATGATAATGTATTTAAAAAAACAACAAAACAAACCATCTTTAAACCAAATAAGAAAAATAGTCAGAAAAGGTAAACTGAAATAAATGTATTTGGTTTTACCTTAAAAGGTAACATAGATAAGGCATATTCAAAAAGCAATCTCATAAGTCGTTTGGAGTAGAAAATGAATTCATCACGTGAAGTACTCTTGTCTCTGAAAAGATTTAAAGCGCATTGTGTAGAAAATATCTGTAATAGTTTTAAAGCTGTTGGGTATATGAATATAACGTAATATTAAACAAATATTTTTTTTGAGCTTTGCACCCTCCAAGATACACTATTACATTGAAAGTATTTACAAGAAAGTAAACATGATAACTATCAAATTTTCCCCCGTAAACAATAATTAAAACAGTTATTGTGAAATACAACTTTCAATGTTAACCTTATAAAGGAATGTAATCCATTAACTTGAGGCGTTTTCTCCAGAATATGTAAGCTGCCTGGCATTGGCTGACCATTGTGAGAAGACTGGGCAAGTTTGGATCTCAATTTGAAGCCTCTCTAAAAAAAAATATACATTTTAAGTACACAACTTAAGCACCTGCCGGTGTTTTTGTCTATCCCCTATTTTTTGTAAAACTAAGATAATAGATATTAATTGGTTCCATTTTCAGCATTTAGTGCATTTATAAAGCTTAAGTTGTTTAAAATTGTAAAACTGTACATAACATAAGGTAGGGCTACATTTGTGTTCTTACTGCTTGAAGCTGATTGTGGACATGTAAGACAATTAAATTGATGGCAACGTTATTTTCTCCTCCTTTGGGAACAATGATGTCAGCTGATCGCATGGAAGGTTCTATGTAGTGTTCAAAAGAAGGCTTGACAAACTTCATGTACTGTTTCAGCACACCCTGAGGTTCCCGACCTCTTTCTGCAATATCACGTCTCAGACGACGGGCAAGGCGAACATCAGAATCTGTATCTACAAACACTCGCATATCCATCAGCTGAAAAAGAAAGTAAAAATGTTTTAAATTTCATTAATTTAAATTCTAATTAGAAATATGAGGATTTAAAATTACCATAAGTATTTATGTTAATTTCATTCAGGCTCAAATATTTCTAAAAGAAGAGAAAATACATTAAATACCGGTATGAGTTTCGTATAAAGACTGAGAAAACAATTAATAATCCTAACTAGATCATTTATGAAAATTATATAAAATACTAATTAACTTTAAATGTTATCAAATAAGTAAAGGCTTGTTATGTATGTAAAGTTGAATTCTCTTTAAAAAAAAAACATACACTTTGTCTTTGACGGAGGGCACTCCTTTCATTCTCATAATGGAAATATTAGCAAAATACATTTCCACTGTAAAACATATCTCGTGAGGAGATACTGATCTTCCATCGAGCGCCTCCCCAGGTGGCGGATAAGGGAAAGCCCACCAGATTTGGCGGGTACTGGGATAAAAAAATACCCGGGGCGGACCAAAATCAGTACTTCTGCCTTGTAGGAAGTGGAGGGATCGGACCCAATACAAAGGCAGCTACCCTGAGACCCCGTCATGTAAAAAATCAAATTTTACGAAAGCTAAACCTCTTACAAAAAAAACGGACTGATCATTTTGGATATCGACCCATGCCTGAACAAAAATATGATATACGGATAGCGACCTGGAATGTACTTAGACTATACAGAGCGGGAGCATTGGTCCACCTCTGTGACGAATTGTTAAGATATAGAATATTGGTTGCGGCACTGCAGGAGATCAGATGGTGAGACTCAGATATCCTAAGTACTAATGAGTATACAATATTCTACAGTGGAAACAACGCAAACACCTTAGGAACAGGGTTTGTAGTCAAAAGAGAGAAAGCAAATGCAGTCATTGGGTTTAAACCAGCTAGTGAAAGACTATGATCCATAAGGAACAGAGGAAACGATTGGATTTAAACCGATAGTGAAAAGAACAGGATGGTACGACGCAGAAGGCAAAGAACTTATAGAACAAAGAAACAAGGCTTGGCTAATGATGCTGCAAAGGGAGACAAGATGGCTATTATTTAACGAAAAAAGAAGGGTGGCTAGCAAAATATGCAGAAAGAAAAAAATGTGTTGAGGAAAAATAAAAAAATAGTAGAGATAGAAGAGTTGGCAAAAGAAAGAGATGTTAGGGGAATGTACCTGAAGATAAAGAAGGAAAAGAATGGCTTTCAAGCAAGATCACACATGTGTGAAAGCACGGATGGAGAATTGATCACAGAGAGCAGTAGAGTACTAGAGAGATGGGCAAAACACTTTGAAGGCTTACTGAATGGGTCAGGTGGAGGAACCAATGAGGATTACGCTCTATATACCATAAGGAGGACCGGACCCACCGGTCAATCAAACAACATTAAATGAAATAAAAGATGTGAACATTACCATGAAAAATAACAAAGCCCCAGGAATAGACCTTATCTCTGCAGAACTGATAAAACTAGGTGGATACGAACTGCATAGCCAAATACACAACCCCATATCCAGAATCTGGCACAAGGAAAAATCCTAATTCACAAAAAAGGAGCAAAGTTGGTCTGCTTAAACTATAGAGGAATCTCCCTCCTTAATGTAATGTACAAAATCCTCACAAAACTTATAGCAAGAACACTGGAACAGTATGTGGACAGATCCTAGGGGACTATAAATGTGGATTCCAGCAGAATAGGTCAACCACGGATCATATTTTTACTACTAGATGTCTCCTGGAGAAATGCTATAAATATAACATCTACATAGTCCAACTATATGTGGATTAAAAAACAGTATACGATAGTGAAGACAGGAATTATTTATAGAACAATCTACAATAACTTGGAGTCCCTAACAAGCTTACTCGGCTCATACATATGACGATGGCTAAAGTAGAAATAAGGTGCAGGGAGAATATTCAAGGGAGTTCCCAGCTAATCAGGACCTCAGACAAGGAGATTCACTATCATGTATCCTGTTTAACATCATGCTAGAAAACCTTATTAGAAGCATACAGGTAAGCACCAGTGGAACCATTACAAGCTACTTCCGGCGAGGTACTACAGAACAACAACCATCAGGAACCTTATATAGCCAGCCATTGCAGGACCTGAAATACGCAGACGACATAGCGCTACTAGGCAGAAATGCTCATGAGTAATGACATAATTAAAGCATTCATGTAAGTTGAAAATGCCTCAGTCAAAGCTGGTCTTGATCTAAATGAAGCGAAAACAAAATATATGATAATGTCACGAAACAGGCACGCTGATGAAAACATCAATATAAACACCCCATCTTTGAAAGAGTGGTAGCTTTAAAGTATCATGGGGGCGACCATAAACGAGCACAATGAAATAATGTCGGAGGTGAAAGAAAGGATAACAGCAGGCAACCGTTCCTATTTCAGCCTACAAAGGCTACTGGGAAACAAAAACCTCTCAAGGGGAACAAAGACGACAATATACACTTCTATCATACGATTGGTTGTAACTTACGCTGGTGACACTTTTACCCTAACCAGAAAAGCAGAGAACCTTCTTAATACATGGGAGAGGAAAATCCTCAGAAAAATATATGGTCCAGTGATAGAAAATTATGTCTAGAGAATCTGTACAAAACAAGAGCTATACCAATTTTATAAAGAGCCACCCATAGTCACAACAATAAAAAAGGACTGCGCTGGGCAGACATATTGAAAAGATGCCGGAATGTAGAGGAGCAAAAGTGATATACAGGCAGAAACCTAGGGGCAGACGATTCACAGTCGCCCAAGGCTGAGATGAATCGATGATGTAGAGAAGGACTTCCACCAGCTGGGGGTTCACAGCATGGATGCAGAAAGATTGATCCGAATGGAAGGATGTGAGGGAGCAGGCCAGGCCCTAGATGGGCTGTGGAGCCACTAATGATAATGATGTGGTGGAAGGTAAACCACCTTGCTGTGGAGCCACTAATGATGCTGATGTATTGGGTGGAAGGTAAACCACCTTGCTGGGGAGCCACTAATGATGCTGATGTATTGGGTGGAAGGTAAACCACCTTGCTGTGGAGCCACTAATGATGATGATGTATTGGGTGGAAGGTAAACCACCTTGCTGTGGAGCCACTAATGATGATGATGTATTGGGTGGAAGGTAAACCACCTTGCTGTGGAGCCACTAATGATGCTGATGTATTGGGTGGAAGGTAAACCACCTTGCTGGGGAGCCACCAATGATGCTGATGTATTGGGTGGAAGGTAAACAACCTTGCTGTGGAGCCACTTATGATGCTGATGTATTGGGTGGAAGGTAAACAACCTTGCTGTGGAGCCACTAATGATGATGATGTATTGGGTGGAAGGTAAACCACCTTGCTGTGGAGCCACTAATGATGCTGATGTATTGGGTGGAAGGTAAACCACCTTGCTGTGGAGCCACTAATGATGCTGATGGATTGGGTGGAAGGTAAACCACCTTGCTGGGGAGCCACTAATGATGATGATGTATTGGGTGGAAGGTAAACCACCTTGCTGTGGAGCCACTAATGATGCTGATGTATTGGGTGGAAGGTAAACCACCTTGACATTAATATGAAAGTCATCCAGATGGGCAGGGTGACCAGAGGCACTGCCCAGCACTAGCAACACATTAAAGGGTAGGCCTTTCAAAGCACACTTTTGGCACAAAATGGTTGGTCAACCAGTTCTAATATATCTGAAGATTCACCCCTGCCTTATTGAGAGACTTCCAGATGACAATGCCCTTAGATTCTCAACCAGATACACCAACAAGGGCTTCACCTTGAAGTCCCCAGCAGGATCAGCCCCACGAAGCAAAGTCAGTCTCTCCTTGTTGCCTTCATGGCCTGGTGCTGTGTTTCCCTTCTTGGCAATTTATGCAATGCCAGGTAGGTATTATGCTCCCAGAACAAGCATATCTCATCCACATCAAACGCTTGTACGGCCCAGATACCCTACTCCATAATTATCTCTGCCAATGCACTAAGTGCATCTCTTGCTGCTTTGTCATCACCACTGGTAGCTTCCCCTTAAACCTTAAGGTGATGCACAAACTCTTTACTTTCAATCCCTTCCAGCTCTTTTTCTTTTAAAGTCTGAAACAAACATTAAGCCTTCTCCTGAATCGACATAAGGCTCGCTGGGATATGCCGTTGACGCTGGTCTTCCAGCCAAAGCACTAATAATCTTTCCATCTCAATAATGAGACTACTACACTGCTTTGTAATCACAATTGATTTCATAGGAGGAGCAAATCCTTTTACATTTTCAAGATTATGCTTTTCATTGCCGATGATTGTCAAGACAGCCGATGATTGTCAAGACAGTGGTATGACTTAGGCCAAGGACGAGCCCCCCCCCCCCCCCGTTCATCTGTGTTTTGCCCTTTTCTGAGCGTTTTATTACATTAACTTTCACTTCCATGAAGGTGACGTTCATTATTTTCTTTGAAGCATTGCCATCAGAATAGCCTGCCTTACTCTTAGGAGCCATAATGAAGAGCAAAATGTTTTTTAAAATGTAACACAATTAAAAATGACATACAGCCGTCAAATGAACAATCCAGTCTTCTTAGTATAGCGCTGCGAGATGATGTATCATCCACTCTGCTCACCAACTAGTTCCCGTGCGAACTTTGCCATTATGTCGCAAAGCGCCGAACATCAGAATAAGACTTTTTAATAAATTTAAATTAATGGGAGATGGCAGAGCAACCGCGAAGAGCCCTAAGTCGTGTCCAAAGTAACTTGAGGACCGCCTTTACTAACCTTGAGTAGTTCAGCGTTAGCAAATGCCATAATGCCTTCAAATATAACAACATTAGCACCATAAATGATTTTCTGAAACAAACAAAAAATAATTTAAAAATACATGAAAGAATTCATGGTTAAATTTAACAATAGATACTATTTGCAAATATAGCTGTATAAATAGATAATTTAAAAAAACAACAAAAAAAAAACAACAACATTTTTTATCCTAAAACAGTACCATATTTCTCTCCCTTGCATGAGTGGCAAAGTTATAGATGGGCACATTTACACTCTTGCCTTCCTTCAGCCTCTGGATTGTTGAGATGACCAGGTCAAAATCAAAAGCATCAGGGTGATCAAAGTCATATTCATTTCTGATGGCCCGCTCATGTTGCTCATGAGATAATACCTAGTCACAGAATATATCATAGACTGTCAGAGCTAAAATATATCATAGACTGTCAGAGCTAAAATATATCATAGACTGTCAGAGCTAAAATATATCATAGACTGTCAGAGCTAAAATATATCATAGACTGTCAGAGCTAAAATATATCATAGACTGTCAGAGCTAAAATATATCATAGACTGTCAGAGCTAAAATATATCATAGACTGTCAGAGCTAAAATATATCATAGACTGTCAGAGCTAAAATATATCATAGACTGTCAGAGCTAAAATATATCATAGACTGTCAGAGCTAAAATATATCATAGACTGTCAGAGCTAAAATATATCATAGACTGTCAGAGCTAAAATATATCATAGACTGTCAGAGCTAAAATATATCATAGACTGTCAGAGCTAAAATATATCATAGACTGTCAGTACTAGAATATATTATAGACTGTCAGAGCTAAAATATATCATACACTGTCAGTACTAGAATATATCATAAACTGTTAGTAATACTATATATATCATACATTGATAGTGCTAGCATATATCGGCAGAAAACTGTTAGAAAACAAAGACAAAAGAGTTTACCTAATTTTAAAACCATTGTTCAAATATATAATAAATTTTAAATTTCATAAAAAATGTTGATTAATTGTTACAACGTAAAAAATGTTTACAAGCTGATAACTTCTAGCCCAATGTTAAGAAATAATCATTTAACAGGATCTTTTATCATATTAACAACACAAACCAGTCAAGTTGGTAATACTGGATTGCCAGAGTAAGTCATCCACCATTAATTTTTTTTAAGGAAAATATAATTAAATAAATCATATCTTCACCATTCTTTACTAAAGCATTAATTAAAATAATAAAACTTGAATATCTTTTAAATTTAATGACTTTGTCTTTGGCCCTGCGGTTCAATGGTAAAACTGCTCACTGTGACCAGGAGGTAGTGGGTTCGAATTTGATTGGGGGTCGACCCCAGCTATATGTAAAATAATGGTTTTATTAACCATGTAGGGCAGCTATTCTTCTGGAAGAAGGAAAGCCTGTGTAAAAACCTCAACTATCAAAGTCAAAAGGAAAGACAGCAGCCAACTTGGCATGAGATTAAAAATGGATAATAAAGGCAAAAATAGATAACGCCCAGACTTCCTAGCAAAGCCACAGTTGCTAGAATGAAGTTAGAAAATTAAAAAAAAACAACACATTGTCAGTTAAATAAGTCAATGATCACCTTATAGAATGAATCCATGCTGACCAAACTGACCCAAGGAACATCAAGTGCTTCAATTATTTTCCTTGCAACAGTTGTTTTTCCAGAAGCACTGCCTCCACATAAACCTGTTACAAGAATCTTTCTGTTTAGTGTTTACAAAATCTAAAATCTACATATTAATTAAATAATAATAAGGAGGAGAAAGAAGCTGCAATCAGGTTAGGTAGAAGGAAATAAGTGAAGAAAAATATGGGAAAACCAGAAAAAAAGGACACAATAAAACAACAAACTTGTCGACAAGAAGCCTTCTTGACCTACAAAACAACAATAAAAAAAATTTAACAATTAAAATAAACACTTAGCTGTAATCTAAGTATCTGAGACAGTGAGAGGAATGCGTTAGAACATTAGTAGGTAAGAGAGTTAATATAGGAAATAGAGGCCAGAAGAGAGGAAAAGTAAGTCTACTGCAATTGTTTGTAACAAGGAGGGGGTGGAGAGAAGATTTAACAAGTGAAGGAGAACATGACATTTATGCCATGTCGTGTCAAGGTCCCATAAGTCTGAATCAGTTTGTTGTTTAAGTTCACCCTGGCCGGCATGTTTGTACAAGACACAAAGGAGGTGATAGGCAGGTCTCTGGGGCCATTGTTGTTGCTTCTACTGAAGTATTTTGAGATAGGACACTGTTTGTCTTGCACAATATTTTGAATGTTCTCGGTACATATGTCTGAGAGATTCCGTCCAGTCTTACATAGATAACCATCTGTCAGTATTTACAAACAATGGCATAGACAACATTGCAGCTAGTACAAAGGAACTGTCCCTTATCTGAAAACTACCCTTAGGAAAGGCAATGTGTTGAATCTGGAAGACATAAGGGCAACTTTTTCAAAAGCTGCGTCTACATGACTTGGTCCCAAAGTGGGAGGAGCAGTGCAGATGTGGCTATTGTTTCTACCCGTTGAATAAGTAATTACAAATATAGAGAAAAATAAAGGCAAAAAAAATAATAATGGACCTACTCTTAACAATATATTAGCGTTTATAATATTAAATAATAAACACGCACAAAATATTAATAGCTTTAAAAGCCATGAAATACATCAAAAGAAAACAATGGTAATTGCTTAATACCTATCACAAATGCATCTTTCAACTGGCCTTCTTTATTGTACCAAGGAGGTCGGCCGGCTGTATACAATGTTCTTCTGCCATGTGTGTGCAGAACTCTTGTCTCTTCGGGTTTGGCTGCACCTGGAGGTGCCCTTAGTCTTTTCTTGATAGATATTTTTGATGGGCTTTTAGGTGTCCTCAGTGGTCCATTAGGACTGGCTGGTCCTAAATCAGTTGACACTGAAAGTGGAGTCATTTCATGTCCACTTTTTGTTTCATCCATATCCTCACCACTGCCACTTAAACAATAAAATAAAAACATGTTTACATGTATAGGACATTTTATTTTTTAGGCATTATTAGGTAACTAAGTCCAATCGATTTTTTACTTTGTGTCAAGACATTGCAATGCGTTATAGTTGAGTAAGAAGAATGTTAATGTACTGGCTAAAATGTAGTTTGCGGCAGGGCTGGCGATGTTTTCCACAGTATGTAGGTCATAAAGCTTACCCAGGTCAACTACTGGCCATAGTTCTGTTTCTCAAAAGATTTTGGAATTCAGCTCTGTATTTATTTGATACATGTTTTTTCTTCATTTTGTTTTTTTTTCCCCCTAAAAGAGGGGGGAGTGGTTCTGGGGAGGGTCCCTCCCACCACACAGCAATTATTTTGTTTCTTATTTCCATATTTTAACGGGGGTGGGGGCTGGTGTCCCCTCCCCAGAAATTTATGGTGAAATGTACCATTAAATTGCGACATTATTGTTAATTTAATAAATGAATAGCATACAGGTATTTCATTTTAAACCAATAAAAAAAACAGCACTTTTAACCATGCACATATTTTTTTCCAGTGTTCATCTTGGCCTTGGGGTATCAGCAAGGAAGATCTTCTCTTTTCATTTCTTTTGAAACTTGTAAGTTGAATTTTAATAAAACTGTATTGATTGTCAGATAATGTTTTTGACCGGAATAATGCTCTTAGTCTTAGAAGATGGGGAAAGTAATCATTCTCATCATTCAGGACCTCATTATTCAGGACCAACTGTTGGTCCTGTCACACTAAATTCAATTTTGAGACTTGAGATTCCCCAAAGAGTCACTGCACTAAGGGGGGGGGGGGTGTGTGTGGTGGGGGACACATTTCGGCAAAACCTATGCCACTAACTACACATTTACTGTGTTTCTTCCAACTTCTATATTCTCAGTACTCACAGTTTTAACATTTTGAGTTGTGCTTGGTTGAGAAGAAATTATAATTAAAAAAATAAAATTAAAAAAACACTGAAACTGGTGCCCGATTTACCATAACCATATTCATCCCATATTTACCTTATTAAATAAGACATAAGGGGCTTTCTTCCGAAATATAAGACATAAGGAGCTTTCTTCCGAAACTTCATAATATAGGCTATGTGGGCAAGATATTAATGTTTTATAAAAGCGACCCTTGTTAATTCTGTTTCCTTGGTTCTTAGACTGGCAAGACTTGGTCCACATTAAATGTAGATCTACTCACACTACTACTACAGTCTAGTACAGTCGAGAGTCCTGCAAAAATTTCATTAATAAATAATTACAATAAAATATAAGACTTAATTATTATTTGGATACTTATTTAAATAACAAAATCACCTGTCAGAAGCTGATCTAGTCATCTTTGGAAACACTCCGTTTTCCGTCATTTTAAAATAATAAAGGAATCTAATTATTTTAAAAATGCTATCTTGAATCGTGTAGAAACGATATTTCCATAAAGGTAATAATCATGTGTCTACTCTACTTAACGAAACATCCTACAAGTGCCGAGAAATACATTTACATATAGTTCTGAATTAGGCTAAACACGCAGTGAATTAATCGGATCTTCGTAGCGAAGTTACTTTTGTTTGATTTGTAGCCTACATGTTAACTGTGCCGAATTTATTCGCTGACATAGTTGTTTACATAGCATTGCAATGAGTTGAACATTTCAGAAGTTATCTCCCATAGGCTAATATAATTAACGAGCTCTTACATGGGTGAATGAATCTCTGTGAGGCAAAGGGTGTGACTTGTTTTTCCGAGCTTGTACAACTTGTGGGTAAAACGTAGGACTATCGAGATTTTAATTCAACTTTTTTTTTTGGGTGTGGGGGGCCTTGGACTAGTGAGACAAGGAATTAATTTGTTTCATTTTCTATTTTGTCGCTTAATTAATGATAAGGGTGGGAACGGGAAGGCTATGTTCTTTATTGTGAACACTAAGTACGAGGCGACAATAAACGCCATGGTGTGAACCACCGGTACTTGACTGACGGCGCCGTAACAGGGGAAATGTAAAGTTAGGAGAAATGCGCTATTTTAAGCCTGTGTCAATATCTTTGGAAGGCTAATTGACCCACCACACGTCATACTATCGAGCTGAAACTTGGCGCATAGAGTCGTTGCCTATGACAACATATTCTATCAAATTTTCAGCCTCCCCCCCCCCACTTCAATCAGTTTTGCCTTTTAATGAAACGTCCATAAATTAAATAATCGGTCGATGAAATGTCTGTCGATGAAATGTCTATCTATGACTTAACCTGCTACCGTTTCATCGGGAGTTTCTTTTCTAGCGTACATTAAATTTGAAAAAAATTGTTCAGATTCGTGCAGTCCGTAAAAGGTTAGAAATACTAGAAGCAAGGATGCATAACTTTATGATACCGTAATAATTTATAAATAAAAATGTTTAATTTGTTAGTAGAATTCTAAACCCTTTTGTCTCAATTAAATATATTTATTAATACTTTTCCTAAGTCCAGGCGGTCATCTTTATAAATTACTTTCTATAAAATACCCAGGTATTTTATAGAAACTTCAGGCAATGTACATAAGGTAGGCCTATATATAAATAAGTTAAATGTAACATTAATTTATTTCAAATTTTGTAAAAAAAAATTTAAAAAAAATAAAAAAAAAAATAAATAAATAAATACATGATAACTTGAGCACAATGCCAGTAGCATGGATTTTTTATTAGAATTAATTCAAATTAACTTTTTGTAGCCTACTACTATCACCACTACCCTACTACTATCACCACTACAGAAATGATCAGACTAAATACGCCACACTGTGTGCGCAGAAAAAAATCTATTTATGTTACACCCATCTCTTTTACTTTGATCTTAACAAGAAGAGTTTCTAATGATTTAAAGGCCATCGATGATTAATTTTTAAACATCCCCACAACATTACCCGCAGTCAGTGTCGATGATGCTATACAGGGTTTCTTTCAAACCTATTTAGCGGGTTATCGGAAATTTGTTTGAAAGAAATTTCGTCCACGTAAAATTTTTGTACGATATTTTTTTTTTTCCAGCTCCCACTATTTAATTTTCGTCAAATTTCTTTTTAAACGCACTATAACTATATATAATAACAAAATAATGGACATAGAGTCGTTGCCTATGACAACAAATTCGATCAAATTTCCGTTCGATCAAACTTCCGTCGATCTATTTTCCGTCGACGAAATTTATTTCAAACAAATTTCCGGATACGTATTTAGCGGTACTGTATGTTTTGCACCTCAACATTGACGATGATATAAATTGCCAAGATGAGCCAACCAACAAAAGGCTCCTCTAATAAGGTAGAGTAAATAACGTCCAGTCAACCCAGCGTCCCTGTCACTTAGAGACGTTCCATCACCTCGTCAAGGTCCTTCATCCACGCTGGACGTTCGCAGGGCCAGTGACTCTCGCTTACAACGACATCGGTATCCAGCAGGGATATTTCACAGGGATGCGTACCAGAGATATGTAGCATGGTTATAAAACAGGGATATGTAACAGGCATATGTAACAGGAATTTTATAACAGGATATATAACAGGCATATGTAACAGGGATATAAAACATGCATATGTAACAGGGATATGTAACAGGGATATGTAACAGGGATATGTAACAGGGATATGTAACAGGGTTACGTAACAGGTATTTTATTACAGTGATGTATAACAGGGATATAAAACAGGGATATATAACAGGGATATATAGCAGGCATATTTAAAAGGTATTTTATAACAGGGACATGTTACAGGGTTATGTAACAAGGATATATAACAGGGATATATAACAGGGATCTATAAAATTGATACGTAACAAAGATACGTAACAGGGATGCATAACAGGGATATGTAACAGGGATATGTAACAGGGGTATGTAACAGGGATATGTAACAGGGATATGTAACAGGGATATATAACAGGGATATATAACAGGGATCTATAAAATTGATACGTAACAAAGATACGTAACAGGGATGCATAACAGGGATATGTAACAGGGATGCATAACAGGGATATGTAACAGGGATATGTAACAGGGATATGTAACAGGGATATGTAACAGGGATATGTAACAGGAATATGTAACAGGGATATGTAACAGGGATATATAACAGGGATATATAACAGGTATTTTATAACAGGGATATGTAACAGGGATATAAAACAATCTGCGCGTTATATCTAGAAATAAAATTAAGGATCTTTCACAATATTTAGTAGATTGGCAGCTACATCTGATGACCCTGGACCGGGGAACCGCTGCATGTATTAGTATCTTTGGTGATGCCCTGTGCACTGGAGAACCGCTGCATGTATTAATATCATTCGTGATCAGGTAAGTAACCGTAGGGCGGCAAGGGAACTAATAAATAGTTGAAAAGTTCACTCGACCTGCCTTACAACTACCACACCCGTCAGTGGCGGATACACGATATGGTACCTGACCAGTTAGGGTTCTACACCTTCCCCCCCCCCCTGTATATCATGTCCATATTTAAGCCTTCACTTTACAACAACAACAACAACAACAACAACAAAAAAAAGACGATGTAAATAAAACAGAACATCAAAACTTCTCTCGTTACCGGTACCTCCCCCCCTCCCCCCCTCGTTACGTTAACGCGCCTTCTCCCTTTTGTTATGGATTCGCCCCTGGTACGCACCGCACCCATTCGCGCGCAATCATGCGTGACATGTACTGTGATACTATTTCCGAGGAGTTAAGGGCGGTCCAACGTGAATCCTTTCAGTCTGGGGTTTGAGGTTGATTGATTACTTCACCTTTCACGGCAGTGGCTGACCAGCAATAGCAAAATAAATAAATCTGTGTTGGATTGGGTACGACCAAGATAAGGGTGTGTGGATTAGACGACCAAGATAAGTGTGTGTGGATTAGACGACCACGATAAGTGTGTGTGGATTAGACGATCAAGATAAGTGTGTGTGGATTAGACGACCAAGATAAGTGTGTGTGGATTAGACGACCAAGATAAGTGTGTGTGGATTAGACGACCAAGATAAGTGTGTGTGGATTAGACGACCAAGATAAGTGTGTGTGTGGATTAGACGACCAAGATAAGTGTGTGTGTGGATTAGAAGACCAAGATAAGTGTGTGTGGATTAGACGACCAAGATAAGTGTGTGTGGATTAGACGACCAAGATAAGTGTGTGTGGATTAGACGTTCGCATGTGATTCGTGGTGTGTTTATTTCTCTTGAACAATCAGGGGCGTGTTTGCACGAGGAACGCCGTGGACTCATAAAAGAGATATAGTAGAAAAGTTGTGGACAGTTTTGTTGGATTATTATAGTGACACAGTTATGTGTACGAATTTAGTAGAAAAGTTGTGGACAGTTTTGTTGGATTATTATAGTGACACAGTTATGTGTACGGATTTAGTAGAAAAGTTTGGACAGTTTTGTTGGATTATTATAGTGACACAGTTATGTGTACGAATTTAGTAGAAAAGTTGTGGACAGTTTTGTTGGATTATTAAAGTGACACAGTTATGTGTATGGATTTAGTAGAAAAGTTTGGACAGTTTTGTTGGATTATTATAGTGACACAGTCATGTGTACGGATTTAGTCGTTTGACATCGGAGATATGTGGCTTCATTGGAAAGTGAGCTGTTTGGCGAATAAACTAATTAGTCAAGGAGTAACTTGTCTTTCACAGGATTGAATGTAAAATATTCATTGGTGAGTTTCTTCATGATTTAACCACGTGTCAATGCTCAAAAACCCCTACTAACTTCTTCATGACTTAGCTCTGTGTCAATGCTTAAATACCCCTACTAACTTCTTCATGACTTAGCGCTTTGTTACTACTTAAATACCCATACTAACTTCTTCATGACTTAGCTCTTTGTTACTACTTAAATACCCCTACTAACTTCTTCATGACTTAGCTCTTTGTTACTACTTAAATACCCCTACTAACTTCTTCATGACTTAGCTCTTTGTTACTACTTAAATACCCATACGACGATAACATATTCGGGAATGTTAAACCTGGGACATATGATTTTAAGTTCGTTTTTCTTACCGCGTGTAAAAGTCCAGTGCACAAGTTTCCTTTAAGGTCCACATTCTATGCTAATTGCCCCCCCCCACCATATATTTCTACACTCTTTACCTTTCCACTTTATGCCCTAAGCCTCCACGTCCCTGCACACCGCTTCTCATTCCACACTCTCACCACCTCCCACATTTCAACGTTTTTAAAACAATTTGTCATCGAATTTTATGAGTCTTCATTTATACTGATCCACAAAAAACGTTGAAATGCAAAATATATGATGTTAGGCCTACTGCAATTTATGATGTTAGGTCTACTACAATTTATGATGTTAGGCCTACTACACGCATTTATGTAAGCCTATTACAATTTATGATGTAGGCCAACGGCAGTTTATGATGTAAGCTTACAATTTATGATACAGTCCTACAAGGTTG